TCTGTCTCTGTCTCTGTCTCTGTCTCTCTCCCTCCCTCTCTGTCTCTCTGTCTGTGTCTGTCTCTTCTGTCTGTCTCTGTCTCTGTCTCTCTCCCTCCCTCCCTCCCTCCCTCCCTCCCCGTTCTTGCAGCCCTGGGGCCCATCCAGGCCGTTACCTCATCCACTTGCTGTGCGTGAGGAGGGATGCCTGATACCTCTGCACACACTCCTCCTGGAACACCTGCAGGAGCCTCTTGGCTAAATGACTAAAATTCACCCTGGAGGGACCAAAAAGCACAGCCCAGGCATGAGTGGCTGCAGCCACCTATGCCCCCAGTGAGTGTGTTTGTCCTTTTTCACCACCACCCGGCAGGGATGGGCTCCAAGGAGGGAGGAGACAGTGGCCACACTCTGGGACTGAGAAAGCCGGAGGCCAGTGAGGCAGGTGTGTCAACAGGTAGACAAAGATGGAGAACAAAGGGCCCTGGAAGTACACTTGGCACACTCAAGCTGGTTCCCTGGGGGAGGGAAGGACAGTCAGACACAGGAAATACCTGACTATGCACATGTGTGTTGGGTCAGGTGGAGAACTGCAAATCCTCCCTCTGACTCAGCTCTGCAGCTTTCCTTCCCCTTCCCCTGGCCCCAGAAACCTGCCCCAGACAGCCACCCCCAAACACTGCCCAGCCATAGCTGGGGACCAAGGCCTCCTGGCTCCCCATCTGCACAGAGCATCACTGTGCCTTACGACCCCGCCCCTCAGCCAGTGACGGGGTCACTCACTTATCCAGTTTGTGAATCTGTTCCTCGTTGTAGCTGAGCCCTGAGGGAAACAGGAATGATGTCACCTACTGAAGCAGTGCCACAGGGTAGGGACAGTGACATGGATACAGACAGCTCAGCCTGGGGCCCTGTTTCAGGGAACCCACAGCCCAGAAATCCAGGAAGGGCAGAAGGGGTGGAGGTTGCAGAGAAACTGCTGTGTGGGGGGGTGGGGGGGAGCTGGGGACACTGCAGGTGGGAAGCAGGAGCCACACTCCCAAGAGGCTAATGTCTGTAGCTGGCTGGCCCTATCCCTGCAGTCACGCTGCAGACACAGCCAGGTGGTTGTGCAGCAATGAGGTGGACAAGCTAGGCCACCACTCCAGCCTCCCTGTGTGCATAGCCACTTTGGTCACAAGAGGCACTTTGGCCAGACAGCTGCCTGCAGTTTCACACGCAAACCCACTGGCCTGAGGGGCCTTAATGCTCAAGTTCTGGGAGGTGCTGCCCCCTGCTGGGTTCCCAGGGAATGGCCCTCCTAGGTGGTGGCAGCTGCAACAGGAGGTGACCCAGATTTGAGTCTTTCCACTCTGCTTCCCTAACAGCAGGATCCCCTTCCTGAGCCTGCAGCGGCTGAGGGCACTTGGGACATCCGGAGATCTGGCACAAGTCCCAGCCCTGCATGCTCAGAGCAAGTGATCTGGCCTCATGGAGCCCATGTCTTGCCCCATCACACGTACCACACAGACTCTTGCACGGATCGGGGAAGAGCGTGCTCGGAACATTACTCAGCCTTCTCCAGTGGCTTCCTCCCCTTTGGTGCAGCACTAGTTCATTGAACCCTGGGAATTTTCACTGAGCCTTATACCCAGCCCTTTGTTAAATCTTTAAGACAGAGTCTTGCTGAGTCTGTCTTAGCTGATGTTGAACTTGAAATCCTCCTGCTTCAGCCTCCCTAGTAGCTGGGATTACAGGTTTGTGCCCCCACACCCACTGGAATAACTTCTTTCAACATCCCAGGTGTGATGAGCTAAGGGCTCATTTCTGATTTTAATAAAGGAGCTGAAAGACCACTAGAAATAAAAGTCCTTTGAGGCTGTCAGAAGGGGTAGTTAAAAGCAGCAGGGCTCCATTGCCTGGGCTACTTAGCCTTTCTCTGTCTCAGTTTCCTCATCTGTAAAACTGGGAGGATGTGGTGCCTACAGTCTCTATGAGCATTAGATAGTGTTAGAACAGCCACAGCCCTGAGGATGCGTCCTGGCACCAGGGAGGTGCTGCGGTCTCGAATGACAGGGTTGTGGGTTCCTGCCTCTGAGATCTGAAGTCACTACAGAGGTGGCCAATTGGACAAGGGGCAGCCTAGAGAGAGGTTATCTTCTGCAGACCTGCGTGTCCACCACGATGGCTGCCAGGTACCCACGGCCACAGAGTCCCTGACACAGCTAGCACAGCTGAGGATCTGAGTTTTTACTTGCATTCATTTAAATTTTAAAACTAACACAGTGTGACACATCTCTCCCATTACACAGAGCTTGATGGCTGCATTAAGACGACATTTTACTTTGTGAAACATGCAGCTTCCGAGTAGAGATGTGCCGTGGATGGGAAATACACACGAGGCTCTGAAGACTCAGCACAGAAAGGGAACATGAAATAGCTCTTTAGTAATCTTGTTTATATTGACTACATGCTGAAATGATACTGGGGACATACGGAGTTGAGTAAAATATATTAAAGTTAATTTCACCTGTCTCCTTCTACTTTCTACTTTGGGTATGAGAAGCCAGGTGTGGCGCTGCACACCTGTAACTGCAGCATTTGGGAGGCCGAAGCAGGAAGATTCCCTCAGGTTTGAGGCCAGCCTGGGTTATGTTGTGAGTTCAAGGCCAGCCTGAACTATATAGTAAGGCCCTGTCTCAAAAAAGCTAAAACAAACAAACAAACAAAAAAACTGAAAAAGAAAATCACTATGAGAAGACAACATATGTGTAGAGGACGTCCCTGCCCAATCTTTCTGAGGATTAATGTAATATGGGTAAGACACACAGCCCAGTGGCTCTAAGGAGGATTTTTCTTGATCCCCACTTTCTGAGAAACATGGCTACCTCAGTGTCCCAAAGACAATCTACAGAAAAATACACCATAAGCTATAAAGTGCCGTTACCACAGGCAGTCCTTTTCCAGGGCTATTTCTCTTTCGTTTGTTTCTTCAGTACTGGGATTAAACTGAGGGGTTCACGCACGCCAGGTAAATGTTCCACCACTGAGTTACACCCTTAGCCCTTTTTGTTTGATTTTGATACAGGGTCTCCCTAAGTCCCCAGGCTGCCTCAAAGGTTTTTTTGGGGGGAGGTGGTACCGGGGTTCAAACTCAGGACTTCGTACTTGCTAGGCAGGTGCTTATGCCACTGAGCTATCTTCCTGGCCCCAGGCCTCAAACTCGTGATCCTCCTGCTTCTCTGCCTTCAAAGTAGCTGGGAGGACAGGTGTGCACCCCACCCATGCCACCTAAGCTCTCCCGAGGTCTCACCTGGCCTCATCCTAGATTTCTTGAACTGTTTGTAGATGACGTGCATCTTGTCCAGGCAACTCTGGATCTGCTGGGTGCTGCGGCAGAGGCAAGAGAATCAAATAGCACAGGGAAAAGGCCAAAGGAGGGGCCATGGTGGCCGGGAGCGGGTGTGGCTGTGCTGGCCCTGAGCTTGGGAGCCTTGCTTCTCCCCTCTTCCACCCATACACTGAGGGAACCAAAGTAGAGGAAGCCGCTGCTGCAGGGAAGGTGGGGAGGCCTGGGCGCACCCAGGATAGGGGCGAGCATGACTCTCCCCTCGGTCACCTGGCCAGGCTCTTTTTGGGCTACCCAGAGCCTAGTACAGTATGGACGCAAAAAGAATGAAGCCACAATCTCATTTCAATCAAGACAGACTCAGGAGAGTGAGCTCAGCCCTCCTGTAAGCTCGCAGGACTCTAATGCTGGGGGTCTACCCTAGGGTTTAGGGTCAGGACCCATTGTTGCTTCCCCTTTTGGGCTGACACAGACACTTTGGGGTGCCCTTCTGCACCCCTGGGAGCCACACGATCCACTTCCTCCCTAAGATCCTCCTGCGAGAGGCCAGGGAGATGGCTCTGTAGCATAAGTGCTTGCCTGGCAAGCGTAAGAGCCTGAGTTCAATCCCCAGTTCCACGAAGAAAAAAAAAAAAAATCCTCCTGCGAGTCCAGCTCTGACCAGAGCACAGGGGACCCCTGGGCTTGGCCACCCTTTCGAGAACATGGAAGTGGGGGCAAGATGGGGGACACGGCTCGGGGCCAGGTGGGCTCCAGATTCAGAACCATCTTCCAGTCTCAGGGCTCAGAGACTCAGCAAACAGACAACATGCTGTGCACCCTGGGGTGGGGGTAGCGCTCCAGTCTGGTACACCCCCTCCGAGAAACACAGGGGTACTCACTCTAAGGGGGCAAATAAAGACTACAGAGCCTTGTGCCCATTGGGCTCGGGCTGAGGCATTTTCAGAATGTTGGAGTTAGAGTGCAGGACACGGATTGCGGCTCTGTGGTGGGGACATGGCTCCCTGCTTGCACGGGCATGAGACTGTGGCTAGATACAGCCACGTCCGCTAGGGGATGGAGGTAGGCCTTTTGAAATGTTTGTAATGGAAGAAAAGTTGCAAATCCACACCTGCTGTAGGCTAAGACCACAGTCTTTGGTGGCAGACAGATGTGACTTGCTGCCCCACTGTTGTGACTTGTCACAGCACAAGGAGCTCTATCCAGGGCAGTTTCTCTTTTGTTTGTTTCTTCAGTACTGGGATTAAACTTGGGGGTTCACACATGCCAGGCAAGTACTCCACAAGTTAAATCCTCTGTACTTTTTGCTTGATTTTGAAACAGTGTTTCCCTAAGTCCCCCAGGCTGGCCTCAAACTTGAGATCTTCCTGCCTCTGAGGACAAACTGACCCCACAGAGGGAGGAACATCTTCTTTATAAGCAGGTGTTATTACATTACTATTGCTACAGGGAGAGGGCCTGGCAGAGTGTGGGCACTCTCCGTTCGGAGCCATGGTACCTGCGAAGATTCCTAACTCAGGTTCCTGGATACTCAGGGGACCCCAGACCCTGTCATCCTGCTGGCTGATCTGGGGGTGGGGCAGGCTCAGTCCTGCCCTAGCACCTTGCTGAGGGCAGGGAGGGAGCAGGTGGGCTTCTGCAAAGGCTGCTGGGCCATTAGGGCTGCCTCTCCCAGCCTCCACCCCACAAATTAGGAAACTCCCACAGACCTTCTGTCTTCATGTACCTGATCCCGGTTCTTCGCCAGCTCCAAGCTCAGGTGGCCCAGGCTCACCTGGGTCTCTGCAACATCTTGAGAACATCTGGAGAGGACCGTAGCCAGCTATGGGGCAAAAAGACAGACATCCATGGGGTCTTCGCCTGAGAACCCACTGGCAGCCTGGCTGGCCACTGACCACTGACCACCCTCAGCGCACTCACAGTCTGTAGCTTGTCCCTCAGCTCTGTGGCCCTCTTCAGCTCGCGAACCTCAGGCATCTCCAGTGTCCTGGCCGTGCTGCTGGACCTGGAGAAAAGGGAAGAGGAAAGCTGCATATGAGGAGGGAGCTAGAGACTCCGTGACCACTGCTGAGCAGGACATCTTCGGGGCAGCCATGCTAGCTCTCAGGTCTTGGGGGAACAGAGTTTTGTGTTTGGAAGAGGAACCAACTGGAAGAGTGCCCCGCATGCCACAGCTATGACACTACTGAGGAGTGCAAAGAATAAAAGTTAGATTGGATTCAAACTCCTTGAATCTATGAAAATGTACAAGCGCAGGTGGCTGCAAATGCACCCCTGACCAGGAATGTTTGTAACTCGACAGAAAGAATGAAGCTCCTTTCCAGTAGAAACTGTATTCCATGTTAGCCAAGAGTTAATTTTATTGTATTTTTTTTTTTTTGGTGGTATCAGGGATCGAACTCAGGACCTTGCTTTCCAAGGCAAGCACTATTCCAGCCAAGAGTTCATTGATAAAGGAAACCCATCTTTCGTAGACTACTAGACAATCGCCTGCTAGGACTTGGAGTATCAGTTCCCTGTGCTCCCAGTGAAACAATCAAGGAAAAACACTGTGAAGAGAAGGATCCGGCTGTTCCCAGCCAGTGGTGTGGTGAGGTAACGCCCCTAGCACAGCCCATGATGTGCCGCAAGGCAGAGCGTAACTTGAATCCATGCAGCCTGCAGCGCTCCTGACATACAGGAAGTGCCAGGAAAGAACAAGCCAAAAGGCACCACGAGGAAGGTCCAGACAAGCCCTCAAGACGGAACAATGGCCTTGGTCCCTCCACTACACCAGAGGCATGCAAAGCAGGAAGTGGGGGAAGGGAACTGGCGCTAGCTTCAGACATAGAAGATGTAACACCCAAGTACAAGGCATGGTCTTGGATGGGGTCCTCATTTGGAAATGGGATGTAAAAGGAAATTTGGGGCATCAGTAGAAACATTTGAAAAGAGATGAGCACCAGATGAGATCAAACCACATTGCCACAGAGGGCCAAGCTCATCTGCCAAGAATAGCGGAGTACAAAACAGCTGATACAGAAAACTGTCATGTTGGCTAGTATAGCCAACATAGCATCCCTTTACAGTGGTAAGCTATGTATTAGGCAAGGATATATTATTAAAGTGTAAGAACCTGTTTCTAGGAGGTAGTGGGTGATATTTTCACTTTATGTTTGCCTAGCTGTACATTTTAACTTCCTACCATTGATGTGTATATTTAAATATTTTTGTTTATTGATTAATTGATTACAGTATTGGGGATTGAACACAGGGCCTTTGAGCTGTATCCTCTGCCCCTTTTCAGTCTTTTGAAACAAGTTCTCACTTAATTCTCAAGTTACTGGGCTAGAACTTTTGATCCTCTTGCCTCAGCCTCCCAGAGTGCTGAGGTTACAATTATGTGCTTCTCTGCTCTGTCTCATCAGCATAACATGTTTTTAAACTAACAATTAAGAATGAAAAGCCTCATGTGCTTTAGCTTGGAAGTGAAGGGTCAGGAGGGAGGAGGCCAAGAAGAGTTAGGAGGGAACCTGGAAACCATGAAGGCTGAGGTCTGCTTTCCAATGTGCTGTCCCCAGGGCTTAGCAAAGTGTGTGTGTGTGTGTGTGTGTGTGTGTGTGTGTGTGTGTGTGTGTCTGTGTCTGTGTGTGTGTGTGTGTCCCTAGGTTTAAATCCTGATCCTGTGGCCACACTTGTCATCTTTATGGCCTCAGGTTCTTCATTTACAAAATGGAAGGCCGGCCAAATAGCTCTGCGGATTAAAGCGCCTCCACGCAGGCACAGGGGCCAGGGGTTCGATCCCCCAGCCTGCTGTGCTGGCCCTGCCCCTGCCCCACCCCTGGGGTGAGCTGAGATGGCAATTGAGACTAGGCAATTGAGATTGGATGCCTATAATCCCAGCTCTTGGGAGGCTGTAAACAGGTGGATCACTATGAGTCCAGTCTAGTAGTGAGACCCTGAACACACTGTAAACCCTTCCCTAAAATACAAAAACAAAAAAACAAACAAACAAAAAAAACAAAAAAACAAAATGGAAGACAAATTTCTTTCCTCCTACAAAGGTGTTTGTGGGGGTCCAACAGGACCTCAAGGATAAAGGGCTTTTTGAGAGAACAAGTTTATATGAACACACACTTTTTTGGGAGGAGCTAGAGGAAGGCTTAGGATCTCTATAACCAGGCTGGCTGCCCACATGGCTCCTCTGGAGGAGCAGCAGCCATGCAGGCCGGGTTGCCTGCCCAGGATTGTGTGTCCTTCCCTGCACTTCCCCTCTGTCCCCTTCTGACTGTCTGGCCAGGACACTGGTCACCAGGCCCGTGGCTTCAGCACCCCCCCAGCAGCCTCTCCATCCTCTGAGGCCTTTTCCTCCGTCTCTGCACAGACCTCCCCAGCCAGGGGCTGCCTCTTTTTGGCCTTTATAGCCTGGTCTTCCAGGATGGCTTTCGTGCTGCTCTGCCCGTCTCTGCAGTGACCCCTGCGCGCCTCCCCTGTCACCCTCATGGACCGGAAGAGCAACACTGGCCTCTCTGTGTGGCCTAGCGCCACACCAATCCCTGGCCCCTTCCTGTGGGGAGGGGCTGCTCACAGGAGTGCTGTGGCTGGATCCTTCCTCTCTGCCGCGCTCTGAAGGAGCTCGGCCCTGCCCCTGTCACCCGGAGATGCTCCTGTCCCTCCCCTGTGCCTTCACTGCCTCCACCTGCTCCAGCATCCATGCTGTGCTGCCAAGAGCCAGGCAGCCTCACTGGGCACCGCGCCCAGGCTGGGAGGGGCAGTTCCGGCATGGCAGGGCCCTTCCCACACGGCGGCAGCATCTGCACTGTCGCTTCCCATCTCTCAATGAGTAGGGCTACAGCTGCCTCGGGCTCCTGGACTCGGGTCCTGCACGGGCTTTCAAGCAGTGGTCTGGCCGTGACACCCTCCTTCACCTCTCATCTCCAGACCCGCCATCCTCCGAGGCCTTTTCCTCCGTCTCGGCCTTTTCCTCCCGACTCCCTTCCCACGCCACCATCCCTGTAGCCCAAGACAAGAGAGCGGAAGGCTGGTGCATCACTGGGTACCAGGAGAGAGGAAGAGAAGGAGAAGGGGTGTGGGGTCCCAGCTGGCCGGAGCAGGACACCTACCTCTCAGTGGCCAGGGTGCTGCTGAGGAAGAGGAGGCTGGTCCTGGTGACCTCCAGGGTCTGCCTGCACGTGGCCCGGAGCACCTCCCTGCTCAAGAGGAACTTGAGTTAGGGCCACCTTGTCCAGGGTGCAAAAACACTGCAGATGGCCTGCCGTGTGGTCCCTCCGCGTCACCCCTGTCCTCACAGGCACTCACACGACCCAGTGCAGACCCCGTAGCATCAGCTCCTGCCCACTCAGCAGAGCTCGCGCCAACCTCAGTGCCTGATGACCAGCGCCTAGCACACCCTGAAACACACAGAGAGCAGGGTCGATCCCACATTTCCTACCCCTGTGCCACACACACTCCGCCCCCCACGGGGCTGTTCTCACCTTAGCAGTGCTATAATCTGCCTGCAGGTCCACTTTGGGGACGAACTTGGGGATGTCCACAGCAGCTGCAAAGACCCTGTATGAGTGGCCTGCCTCAATGACCTGGACCAACGTCCTTGTTCCGGGCACACACTCGCCCTCTCCTGTCATTGCTGAGCTCTCTCTCTCCCGAAGCTTTACAACTCAACCAAAGCCCCATCTTCCAAACCCGGATTTACACCGCATCGGTCTTTCCAGTTGCAGTTGTTTGCTGCCACCTTTTGGACATTTTTGTAACTACACCCTCAAGCTTAAGGCCCATTTCAACAGACAAAAAACGGGCTAAACCTTGCTGTTCTTCAAGATTAATCGCCTTTCCCCACCCCAAAGGAGGATGAAATTGGGTCAGCATTCCAAGAGAAGGAATAATATTTTTTCTAGACCCTGGAGAAAGAACTTGGATCCCTGGCCACCTGCCCTTCTTCTAACACAAACACCCTGCACCCCCTCAAATCACAGGGCCTGGACAGCATATTAAATGCTAATGTCCCTGTTTCGATGAGAGCTTTTTTCACAGCTCTGAGGACCACAGGAAGCCTTCGTAAGTCCTGTGGCATCTTAGAGGCATGTGCAGGATTAACACTCAGACCTGCCTCTGTCCCATGTGGGCCCAAAGAAACGCAAAAGGAAAACTGCCCTGGGTTGTAACCCCTGCATCCTGGAGGAGAATCTCGCCAGGACAGAAGATCTAGCCTCGGTCTACTCACGATCCCTGAAGGTCAGCCCCTTGGAGGTGTCATTGGCCATGCTGAATAGGGTCAGGGGGCTGCTGGCAGTCGTGTGGCCAATGTGCTGTGCTGAGAGGCTGGGCTCGAAGGCACAAAGATGACCCTCAAAGAGGTACTCTTGATGCTGGGGGGCGACATTGGTCTGCTCATGTACAGCCTCCAGAAAGATGGCAATCCTGGAAATGGCAGAAGCATGGTGTGGGAGGGTTGGGGTGGGCAAAACACAGCCAGAACTTTGCCCATGGAAAAAGTTCAGCCTTCCAGTGACAGGGACCCAGATGGTCCTCTCCCTTATTGAAGTTGGATAAAGGGAGGGGACTGTATCTTGCAGGCTGATGGGAACAGAATGCAGAAATCCCAGTGCCCAGGATCTGCTTTTGTACCTGTACTTACTGCTAAAATTCTCCTAGTCCCATAAAGCATTCCATAAAGTGCTTCAGAAAATGTCACCCACACACATGCACATGCACCACCCCGGCTTTATAATACACACTAATATTCTAAGAACACTGAATCTCTGAGGTGTAAGCAAGGAAACCTTTCCACCTCAGTGGAACTAGCACTTTTCCAAGCTAAATTTGAACCCTGAAGCTCTCCTGTCTACTAAGTCCCCAGCTGCCTGAAACAGGCTGCTGTTCAGGCAGAGAAAGTCCCCACCTCCCTTGTCCCCACTCACGTGTTATGGGCATGGATGTAGATGTGGTGCAGAATGGCCTGGGACAGGGAGAAGACGTGGACTACGACCCGCTGCAGGATATTACTGGTCTCCGCAAAGAACTGATCGAAGCCCCAGCACTTGGCCTCTTCCACCTCCAGGATGTTGGCCAGGATGGGTACCAACTGGCTCTGTAGCCCCCTGCTCTCCCAGGACATGAGACTATCAAGGGCTGGGACAGGGTGTGTCCTGCTTACATAGCTATGGGAATTCCCAGGAGAAGCCCCAGGGCCCAGGACCCAGATGGTGTGGCAAGTCAGACTGAGGAGACTTTCTGTAAGGCCCAAGATAATGCACCACAGGCAGCGTGGCACACCCAGCCTTCAGCAGGCTGGGCTGCACTCATCAGAGAAAGTGGTTCCCACTCACGTGGACAACTGGCAGGTGATGGGGAGGCTGTAACTCCACTCCAGGGGCCCATTTTCCCGCCTCTGTGCACCTGCAATGGCCCCTGCTGGCTTCTCCGTGGTGATCCGGTACCTGGGGGCAGGTGGGACCAGGTCAGCAAGTTCCCCAGAGCTCAGTACTCTTCAAGTGGCGAGGAACTCAGCACAGAGCTGGTGCCATTCTTGGCTGAATGTGGGGCCACATGGCTGGCACCTGAGCTGAGGGTGTGTGCCTCGACTTCCCTGCTAATCAACTGATGAAGGGACATTCTTTAGGGACCCATATTTAGAGGCAAGAGCCAGAGGATTGGGGGCCAGAGAGGTCAGGGGAGGTCATTAGTGGAACTGTTTCACATTTTTGAAGGGACATGGGAACCCTGACTTAACTCTGTCTCACCTAGCTGCTAGGGCAGTGGTGACATTCCAGTAGAAGCTTTGTGAGAAGTGAACCCAGCCCATCCAGAAGAGGCAGACTCAGCCCGTGGCCTGTTCTCCTACTCCACAGCTCTCCCCTCTTCCCCATCTGGTAGCCAAAGCCCAGGTCGGCTCACTGTGTACAACTTGTGCTTTCCTTCCCTAAAGTTCATAAAAATACTCTTAGCTCCAGGCCCAAGAGCCATTTTCCCACCCGCTCCCTACTCCCATTATGGAACTTGTCCCAGGACCAGGTCCTTTCCCTAGTTAGCTTCCATCCGGGCTCCACAAACCCTGGAGTTTCAAGGATTCCCTGGGCTCTGAAGTTTTGCTACAATACCACCTTAAATCTCTTTGCTTCGGGAAGTGCCCTCTGGAAGCAACTCCTGTCCCCAGTGGAAGCCAGAACCAGACCTTGGACCTGGCAAGCTTGCTCTACCTTCAGACAGAAGGCGGCTTTGGATAAATCTCCATGATCCTCCACAGAGGGAATGAAGGAAGGGAGGAGGGAGTGTGCATGGCGCGGTGGGGAGGCTGAGGCGTTCAAGCCCAGCCTGAGAGACTTGATTAGACTGTTCCAAAATAGAAAATAAATGGCTAGAGAAGTAACTCAGTGGTAGAGCACCCCTAGTATTCTTGATGCAGCGTGAGGAATGGAGGCGAGATTGAGGTCCCTGGTGAAGCCAGGGAGCACTCACCTTCTAGTTTGACTGACCAAGGCACTGGAAGGAGCCTGGTGTGGGGTAGGGTAAAGTAGACAGCCACAGGGCCCAGGGCCCATGGGGGCCAAGTGTCCCCTGGAGGATGTCCCAGACCCAAACCCTCTCACTCCTTGCCACGTACATGATCTCCTTGTTGCGCCGTGGCCCACCAAAGGGGACAAAGGGCAGGCTGCCGGTGGCTGCATGGTACAGGGTTACCCCGATGCTCCAGAGATCCACAGTTACCCCGAATGCTTTCTGCTGAGGCTTGTGCAGCACTGCCCGCTTGTATATGTCGGGGTGCTGTGGGGAGAGAGTTAGAGGGCAGCCAGAGAGGCCCCCACCAGTCAGACCCTTCCATGGCCTTTCAGCTGTCCTGGCACTTGGAAGGCTGTGGCAGGAGGATTACCATGAGTTCAAGGCCAGCCTGGGCTATATAGTGACTTCAAGCCTAGCTTGAACTACATAGCAAGACCCTGTGTCAAAAAAAACAAAGGGGGAAGACCCAATACTATTATGGACTACTGAACTCTTTTAGAATATTTTGCTGATTTACACACCTATAATATTTAAATGATGGAACTTAACCAAAAAAGGGGACACAGATGAATGTTCATTTTGTATCTGTGTATTCAAAGTGGTTAGGATAGATATATAGTTACATTCTCTTAATGAATAGAGGGATTTGTTCTAATGGTGTTTGTAAATAGGATATCAAGACCACATCTTGTACAGCAATTCACCACTAGGAAGAATGTATGCAATGTGTTAATTATTGAAACTGTCCTACCAATTTGGTTTGAAACTGTCTCATTGCTATTTGTTTCTCAATAAAATTATGGGGAAAAAAAGAAAGAAAAAATAAATAAATAAATTTACCAAAAAAAAAAGAAAGAAAAAAATAGCATAGATAATAAAGATCAACTACTGCACTGTCAGTGCCTGTAATACAAACAAACAAACAAACAAACAAACAAAGGGCCACTGTGTCCCTCCCTCCTCTATTAGGGTCCAACTGGCTGGGGCAGTCAGTGACCCCTGCTATTCTAAAAAATAGGATGGGTACAGGGCTGAGCTAGGACCCTGCAGACCCCTCCTGAGGGAGGCACAGACACTGCAGGCAGCAGTCCCTGGCAGGTCACCCACCAGGTATTCCTCTGTCCCATAGACCGATATGAACTTCTCCTCATCGTCCAGCTCCCGGGCGGCCCCGAAGTCCGTCAGCTTGTAGATGCTCTGGCCCTCCTCCCCAACCAGGCGCATGATGTTTCCGGGCTTGATGTCCCGGTGGACGATGCCATTCTCCCGCAGGTGGTTCATGCCAGCCACTGGGGACAGACAGGCCTGGGCCTCACCTCAGGAACGCTGTCCTTGGGTCCTGATGCACAGGTACTCTTGAAGGCAACAGGGGCCACCACAGATGCAGAGCAGAACTGGGCGAAGGGCAAAGGAGGGGTCCCAAGGCCACTGGGCTCCTGTGGGTTCTCTATGTCTGGGAGTGTGTGTGTGTGTGTGTGTGTGTGTGTGTGTGTGTGTATGAAACTGCACCTAACAACTTACCACCTTCACCAGTTTTATGTGTAGCTCAGTGACATCTGGCACATTGTCACTGACCTACGGATAAGGCTCCCACTATCTTTGGAATGTTCTTATCTCCCCACATGAAACACACTGAGCTACAATCCCAGTCCAGCCCATATCTTTTTTAAAAAATTTTGAGACAGGGTTTCCTCAAGTCATTGAAGTGTGTACGTGGGCTTGAACTTGCAATCCTCCTGCCTCAGCCTCCCAGAGTGCTGGGATTACAGGTGTGAGGCTAAGAATTTCCTCCCTTTTCAAGTCTAGATTATCATCAACTGCAGGTAGGCACCACATTTTTCCCTTTTAGACTGTCTCCGCTATTTGGCTTTTGTGAATAATGCTGCCTTCCACACTGGTTTGAATGTCATTTTTAAATTGGCAATTTTTTTTTAAAAGCAGACACATAGATTATATCTGTGGGTGAAATGCCTGGTGGGTTTAGGGTGTCCATTTGGGTTGGGGTCCTGTTCCATATCACATCGGTAGGCTTTGCCCAGTCCACAGGGCACAGGCTTGGAGCCTGGGGGATAGATAGGGCCACTCACCCACACAGCGCAGCACCACCAGGAACTCCTCCTCCGGCAGCCCAAAGGCATTCTCCGGGCTTTCCAGCACATTCAGCAGGCTCCCGCTGGGGCAGTACTCCATCACCAGCACCTTCTGCTTGCTGGCCCCCTGCAAGAGGGCAGGAAGGCTCAGGACAGGCACTGCCCCACCACACAGAGAGGTGGCTCTTCCCCAGGTTCATCTTCCTAGCCTGGCTGTTGCTACTTGGTGCTGCATAGGCCCCACACTCTGGAATCTAAGGCTGCCTCTTCTAGGAGGCCCTCTCGGATTAGGTGGATTAGGCGCAGATGCCCAGTCCTTTCCCAGGTGCTGTCCCACCTCACCTCTGCCTCTTACCTTCTTCTCTCCCCTCCTGGGTTTGTCTCTGATCACAGGGCTCTCCTCTCCCCAGACTTTGAGAGTCAAGGATGAGGCCACCCTACTCTGACCAAAATATGGGGCTCACCGTCTCCTCTACTGCAAAGAGCTTGATGATGTTCTGATGGTTGAGCTTCCGCAGGACCTCAAACTCCCTCACCTGCACCTCTCGGGGCCGCAGGTAGCTGACGGAGTTGAAGACCTTCACAGCCACCAGCTCTCCAGATTTCTGCCACAGTGGGAGGGGATGGTATGAGGAGACTGCAGGTCTCACCCACAGGGAAAAGCCACCCTCAGTGGGCTTCTGTCTGGCCTCTCCTGCCACGTCTCAGAGATGCTCCTACCCCCCAGCTCCTTCCTTCTCAGGGTCCACTGGAAGTTGACCAAGATCCAGTGTCCCAGACGCCCTAAAGGCCGCAGCTGTTGGTATGGTCACTAGTGTCATAGACAGGCTGAAAGGGCAGCCGGGCTAGGGTTGGAACCGGGCCTGCCTGGCTGGACTCTGAAGTCTGTGAATGGAGTGGCATCTCCATACAGCCGAGCAGCAGGGGCAGAGCAGGGCGTGGGTCCAGCCTCTATCCTGGTGTCCCAAGAGCCCACGTGCACTCACCTCCCCTGGAGCTGTGCTCTGCCATCATCCCCAGGAGCCTGCAACCGGGGGGTGGGGGGAGGCTGCCCCAAGTGCATAGGACAGCCACTCGAGCCCACCGGGGTTGCTGGGCCCTGTGTGGCCAAGGGCTGCCCAGACTGCTGCCTACCTTGTTGCGGGCCTTGTACACGCTGGCAGTGGCCCCTTGCCCCAGCAGGTCGTCCATGTGCCACAGATAATTGGCTGTGCTCTGCATCTCCTGCCCTGGCCTGCCTGGCCACCTGCTACCTGGAGAAAGTCCACACCGTTGGCCCTAGGCCTCTGTCCCTGCCCTGGAGTGCCCACCACCAGTGCCCTGAGACCATCTCATGCCAGGCTTCATGTGGCATTTCACAGGCAAGGCAGCAGGGAAAGGGAGGCCCAGAAGGGTGGAGCAACTTCCTCCAAAGAGGCCCAGCACAGCAGAGAAGCAGCAGCAGCAGCAGCAGCAGCAGGGCCTGCAGCCCCCAGGCCATGCCCCATCCTCACCCCTCCCAGGCAGGCTGCTCTGCAGACAAACCTTCTTGCCGCTTCACCTCTTCCCAGCACTGAGGACTCTAGGGCTTTGGTATCCAAGCCTGGCGCTGTCCCAGGAGCAAGACAGTGCAGAAGGAAGGACCCGGGTCAGGCGGCTGGGCAGCAGAGCCTGTCACACCACCATAGATCTCCAGGATTGCGACACCAGCCTGGAGCCCCCACCCCACCCCCATCCTGCTCGCCTGCCTGGCCCGCCACTTCCTGCTGCCTAGGCCCACAGCTACTCCTCAGGCCACCAGGTGCTGGTGCAGAGAGGGACAGGGCTGTGGAGGGAGGATCTGAAAACCCTCCACAACTCTTCCCCATCTCTGCTTCCTCCCATCACAACCTCCTGTTCCTACAGCAGCTGGTTCCAGAAAGTGTGACCTCAGAGCTTACAACTCAGTTTCTGACAAGCAGTGCTCAGTCTGGCTCTGTGGGGATGCCTGGAGGTAGGGGCACAAGAGGGGTCACTGTCCCTTCAAGATTTGAACTAAGGCTTGGCAGACAAGGGCCTTTTCCTGCTCTGACACCTCCTTATTTCTCAAGCTAAGGGTCATCAGGCCTGGAATTCTATGCTGCTTAGCTCTGAACCTTTTGTCTCCGGAATCATTTTTAAAAATATAAATGCTACAGCATCCGGTGCTTGAGCCAGTGACCTCTTGAGAAACATGGGACCACAGATCGTGCCACCTCCCTCCCTCTTCTGAGGGCTGGTTCTCGAGGGGGGCTGGGCAGAGCTGAGGACGCAGTAGGTGGCGGGCGGCAGGTGGTGCGGTGCAGATGCGCCTGCGCCCCGTCCTGAGCTCAGGTATGCTGACTGCAGCGCATCTGGTCTGGCATGACCCCGCCTTCTCGGCCCTCGGCCCTGCCTGCCCAGCATGTGTGTCCAGCTTTCAGAGAGGAGCAGCTGGATGATGCAGTTGGTGGACACAATGCACCTGAGCTGAGCATCTGCCCACAGCCTCCCCTAACTCCATCAGCTCTTCTGGAGCCAGAGCACTTACCTGGCTCTGGGCGCAGAGTCAGGCAAAGGCTCTCCTAGGCAAGCGGGTGTTATACTTTCTGTCTGGGCCAAGTCCAGGACCTGAGCTACACCGGAAAGAGGAGGGCAGGGCAGATGAGAGGCCCCCTTGCTGCTGTTTGATTCTCAGCCCCCATCAAAGGCTACCAGTCGCAACCCTTAACACTTTCCTGTTTGTCACCCCCTTCTCCCCACCCCCCATGCAAGCATGCACACACATGGGGCAGTGAGGGGGTAGGTTCCAGCCCTCTTCCCCAGGGCCTTTAGAGTGTTTTCCTGGCCACTCCTACTCCTGGGACTCTGGCCATGGAAAAAGACCCCAAAGGGAGGGATCGCCCAGAAGCAGAACCCGGCAAAGGAGCACGGCTGGCCCACGGTAGCCCCCCTCTGGGTCACAGCTCTCCCTCTCAGTCTCTCACTGGTCTCCAAATGATCCTTTCCAAGAATGTCCCCCAGAGAGGGCATGCAGGTCACCTGGCCTCCAACAGCTACAGAGCGACCCAGGCAGGGGGTGCATGACACTGGCCAGGGACTCAGGAGGGGGCCTCCTCCCCCACAACACCAAACTCACCCCATCTCAATAGCAGGGGACAGAGGCTTGTGGGACCAGGAAGCAACCCAAAATTTCAGAGCCAGCATACATTCTTGGGCAGTGCCCAGAGCATCCTGGTAACCATGGGCCCCGGGGTCCCCTGAGCGGGACCAGTTGGGATGGCCTTGTGCCACCCTGGGAGCTGGAGTCCAGGGCTTCTCGCTGCCTCCGCCCCACAGCAGCATGCCCAGCTCAGCATAGCTGAGGGCTGCGCCTCCTATACTTCCTGATTTCGTTGGCTTCCTCCCCACCTCTCTCCTGCTCCCTCTCTCTCTCTTAAAGAGACAGGCAGTTCTCCAGTTGCTGCTACCCCCACTTCACCCAAGCAGAAGGGAGAAAGAAGGTCTTACGCATTGCCCAGTGGGGGCAACAGGACCAGCATGCAAGCCACAAAGAGCCGAGGTAACAGCACAGGCTTAGGTGCTGGCCTCTCACACAGTTCACCTAGCAGGGAGGTTCGGGGCTCAACTGAGGTCAACTCAGCAGGTCTGGCAGGCAAGTTAGCTGAAGAGTTCCCACACCTAGGAGCTCCAGAGCTGCGCCTGTGCCTGCCACTCTAGGTGAAGTTGGATCTGACTCCTCCCATGAGCCTGCAGAGGCCCACCAGCAAGCCCCGTAGCCCAGGTCCCGCTCTCCAGGGCCACATGGTCCCCTCCCAACCCTTTCCTTGCCCTGTGCAGAAGGTGTGGAGGGCACAGGAACTCTCTGGGTTGGAGACCTGAAGGCACCACAGAGCCCCACCCCGTTCAGTAATTGCTCCTTCAATTACTTCTGCTTCAGAGACTGGCAGGGCCAGAGCCAGGTATGCCAGCCTCTCAGCCAGCCCTGTGTCCCCATGGTCAAGGAAGGCTGAAAAGCTCCATGCAGCTTTGGGTCAGCAGTTGGATAAGAAGTAGTTAAAACCAGGAAATTCCATGTTTTGATAGAATGTTGGAGGGACTTTCCCAAGGCCACACCTGGTGGTTTCCCCTGTCAGCTCCACCCCTCGAAGAAGTGACAGTAGAAACTGCCTCCTGCTCTGAGAGATTTACCTGTGATAACAAGGAGCTAGAGCCCTTGCTTCCTTCTCACAGGGCCTGGAGAGGCAGGTCAGAGCCAGACAGTATTCCCAGCCTCCCACCTGCTGGGCGTGGGACAGAACTGCATTTCTGTGGTCCTGGAACTGGGGCGGGAGAGAAGCCTGTGATTTCCACTTGAAACTATTTATTCCAACAAGACCACCAGCTCTGGCCCTCTCATTATCTGGCTCTGATTAGGTTGGAGTTGCTCCCTCTAGGGCCTCAGAGATTTTTATGAGGCAGAATGCCCCCTGCTGGCCAACAGAGAGCATCTGTCTTTGGTGAGAAATCTGTTATAGCCTGCTGAGGTTGACACTGTAGCCTTGCCATCCCTAAATGCCACCCTGCTGAGCCAGTGCTCCCCTCTTCCTCGCTCCAGCCAGCCCAGCCGCTCACACAGGACAGCACAGTGAGTGCTGTGTGTGTGCAGTGGTTTATACCAGGATGCCTCCCCAAAGCTGCCTTGTGAAGAGGTGGGGCATTCAGCAGCTGCTGCTGCTAGGAGGCAAGACCTGGTCAGGAGAAGAGGGTCATGAGGGGGCAGGGTCTGGAAGTACCCCACACCCACCTTCTTTTGTGCTCTGCTTCCTGGGCCTGTGGTAGAGGCACTTGCCTCTGCAGGAGGCCCTGCTACTGTGGTGTTCTGCCTTGCAGCCAGCTGACCGAGGGCTGTGACCAAGAGCCACCATAAATTCCTCTGTAAGCTATTAAGTGTTGGATTTTTGTTTCAATGATGAGACAGCGACGGTCTGTCTATCCATATCTCACTAGGTGTCCCCCATGTCATCACATCCTCTACAGGAACAAAAGGCAGGAGTGTCAGCTGGTGCCTCGACGGGGTAATATGGCCAATGTCTCATGCGGGGAGGGGGGCGTCCTGGAGGCCCCAAAGGGGGCAGCAGAAGTCTATTAAGAGGTCTCACCACATTTCCCGAGTGGCTCTGAAGAATCTTAGAAAGAGAAGTGGCAGTCCCCAGGGGCATCAGGGCTGAAGTTGGGAGGGATTCCTGGGTGGCCCTTGGGAAGAGGAGCCCTCCTGTGTGCCTCTACAGAGGAGGCCGAGTGGCGTAGCAAAAGGGCAGAGCAGCCAGTATCATCACGGAGGTTTGAGTCTTGGCTGACTCTTCCCTGGTGACCTTGGCCAAACTGTTCAACCTTGCTTTTAGGACTGGTGTGAAACAAAAGTCATGAAACACCCGGTGTAGTAAGTTCTGAACAAGTACTACCATTTTGGGTGTGGTGACGCATGCATGTCATCCCAGCTACTGGGGAGGATGAGGCAGAAGGATGATGCTTACGTCTAGGAGTTCAAGGGAAAAATTTCAAGCCAAGACCCCATCTCAAAATAGCAACTATGAAGTTGGGGCTGGGCATGTAGCTCAGAAACAGAGCGTGTGCTTAGCATGTATGAGGCTCTGGGTTCAGCCCACAATACAATCACCACCAAGAACAGAGACAGCAATATTCGCTGTATTTTCTGCCCCTGTGGCCAGAGCTAGCTTTTCACAGCTGGCTCATCTGTGCAAAGCCTTAAACGAAGAGGGGTGGGGTGGGGTGGGGATGGGAGTGGGCTGCAGGGCCTGGAGGGCCAGTGTGTTTTTCCTGTATTCTGCCACAGGTATACAGGGCCCAAGTGAAGGTGCCACAGAGCCCTGCTCCCTGACGCCCTCAGTAGTCAGCACTGGCCAGCTTTGCTAGGGAAAGAGGAACCAGTGCTGCTGCCAGACCTGGTGCTTTCCTCCAAGCCATGGGGACAGGCGCTAAGAGAGCAGTAGTTGTGTTCCATTGTTCCTGGTGTAGAAAGCAGTGTTTCCTTTTGGCTCTGAGGTCCTCCAGCCTCCCCTTCAGCCCAAGACTTGGCCTTCACTTCAGTTTTGCTGACCTGGAAGTGGTGGTCCAATGGGAGCCCCTTTCTGCCCACATCCGCTTCCCACCGCTCCCGCCCACACACCTCCCAGGATCCCAGGATACAGGATGATGTGCCTCTTTGCTGGCTGTGTCACCCTGTCATTTTGTCTGTGTGACTGTCTCCTCCTGTCCTGTGTAGTCTTTCTTCCTATCCTGCTGGTCCCTGCCTACCAGTGAAGAGCTTTGACACTGGCCTCTTATTTTTTCTGTGTATGGTGCTGAGGATTGAACCCAGGCCTTCACAATGAGCTACATCCCCAGCCATTTGTTTATTTATTTAATGTTTTGAGACAGGGTCTTGTTAGGCTACCCAGGGGGAGCTTGAACTTTTGATCTTCCTGCCTCAGACCACTAGGTGGCTGGAATTATAGGTGTGCTGTCCCAGCCCCAGCTTGGCTTCATCTGAGAACAAAGCCTGGTCCCTCCACCTATCTTTTTTTTTTGTGTGTGTGGCCAGCTCAGCCCACCCTGTGGGCAGGGCTGGTGCGGCATGTGTTGCTGGAGATGGAATTGAGGTCCCTTTCCATTTGCCTAAGCAGGCTTTTTAGACGGCTGAGCTATCTAGCCGGCCCCCTTCATCAGTCTTGATGCTCTGAGTCGCCGATTCCTCGTTCCTTCTTGCTCACTGCCCCACCCACTCCTTGGGGCATCTTTCTCCTGTCCTGAAAATGCTGGTTTCCCTTCGTAATGACCTCACATCGTCCCGCATGCCCAAAACATGTCTCTCCGTCTTTGCCCGAGCACCGCCTTCTCTTGGTTTCTATGGCCCATGCTTGCGGCCCCACCTCCCTGTGGCTCGCTTCTCCTGTTCTGCGGCACCCTCTTCCCTGCTGGGTTTCTGAAGATGCCACCCTTTCCTTTTCCTGTCTGTCCAGGAGCCTCAGTTCAAATGTTTGTCCTCCAGCAGAATCTTCCCCCGGCCCAGGCTCACTTCTGTCCCAGCCTATCTGACATTTCTATCCGGATGTAGGGCGTGGTCTCAGCACTGCCCACCCAAGCAGGGTTCCAGACTTCCTCTCTCCCATCACAGTAACCTTTGCTGACCCAGCCAGACACTACTTCTCTTGTTTTATTTTTCAGTCAACTTATGTTGCTTATTTTCTGTTCTCTCCAACTAGGAAGAAAGCACCATTTCTTGTCCAATCCTGTATGACAGTGCTTGTGTGGAAAGGCTGAAAGTTTGCTGACTGATGAAACATCTCAGTCTGTTCTATGTAACATGCCAGGATTAACTCCCGAGGGAGCTTCCTGCAGCTATGAACATTTAGATGAGATTGCTCTAAAGACTGATTCCTAAATCTACACCCACCAGTTCTCCTTTGCTTGGTTTCTATCTGGATGAAACCTGTTTCAACTGCTCACTGCTACTCATTTCCACCATCTTCCATCAGATAGATGACAGCTAGGCATAGTAGTGCACTCAGGAGGCTGAGGCAGGAGGATCACTAGGAGTCCAAGGCCAGCCTGGGCTATATAGTGAGACTATGGCTTAACCAACATCCATCCCCCCCCCCCCCCCACACACAAAAGAATGAGAGGAAGCAGCCCTTGCCTTAGGACTCTCTAAAAGGTCTCTTTTGTCCTTTGTCACAGCCTAAGAAGTGGCTCCACCTCAGCTACTCTGAGGCTCCAGGCATCACCTCTGCCTGCATCCTGCTGTACTCCAGGGAGGACTCACTCCACAGGGTGCAAGAACAGCTCCAGCTTTGCCTTCCCCAAGGTCAGGGGGCCAGCAGGAGAGCTCAAGACGAAGCTATGCCATTTACACAGGGGAAGGGAAGGCCTGAGAGCTGAATGCAAGTCACAAACAGTAGATGGAGATGAGCACCCTAGGAGGATGTGAGGTGTCTGGGCCGTGTGGGGTAGGATCCATGTATGGCCACAGGACACAGGGAAGCCCCTCAGTGGAGAGGTCTGGTCCATGCCCAGAGTGACTGGTATTCGAATAAGCCCCTAGATGTGAGAGTCCCTTAGGACTCTAAAACTCATTTTGTTATCTTTAATATTTTGCTTAATAATGTTTATAAAATGCACATATACACTTGCTCCCGTGTGGGGAAGAAAACCAATGCATAGATGTGTGAGAAGACAAGTGGCTCCAGACATAGTGCAAACTACAGGAACAGCAAGAAGGGGTGCTGGGCAGGGGGCTTGCACTTCACCAAGTACATGCTAAGGACCATGGTATGTTTCAAGAACCAGTAACTCAACCGACCCAAAGACTCCTGCTAATTCCACAGATGCCATTTCTCCTTTCTCAGAAAGTGGAGCCTCTGGGGTTCCAGTCCATGCCTGGCTGGCTGGGCCCACTGCTTTGGGCCTGTGGTGAGACATCTCAACGAGGTGCATGGGGGAGCTGCAGCTCACCCTGGCCGGAAGTGCTTAGTTATCTCTGAAGAACTTTACCCTTGAGCTTAAAATCTAAAAGACAAAGCACCGCCTGTATCCACCTCCCCACCAACAGCACAGGGGGTGGCAACAGGCAGAATGACTCAGGGCCCTAGTTGGGGGGGAGGGGAAGAACCTTAGGTCACCCTTTGTTGTAGCTGGCAAAGTTTCCAGCCAACTATCAGGCTTCACTTCTCCAAGGGGGGAAATCTGACTAAAGATAGAAATGAGAACAGTCCTCACTGAGATCAGGGAAGGTGGATTCTGCGAAGGAAATGGTTCGCATGGCAACAGACTGGCCAATGGTGTGCGGAGGCTTACCGTACAATCTCTTGGGTTCCACATCCGAGCTAAATGGAAATACTGCGGGAAAGCAACCCATGTTCTACATGTGAGCGTGCTGCGCCTTGGCTGGGGAGGGATGTGGCTGGCTCAGGTCATCTCCTCCCTCCCTGTTGCCAGGCAGGGCTCTGTTCACATGGATGAATCAAAATCCCTTCGGAGCAGCTATACTCCTGAATCAGACTGTGGGAAGGGATGTGAACAGCAGCATCGAAACCTAAAAATGTATTTTATTTTGAAGTTGTGCTTTGGATTTTCCCCAATCCAACATTTGTTGAGTGACAGTCTTAGGTTCACACAAAGCATCTCCAAGCATACATACAATATTCCAGTTATCAACACTATTTAAAGAATATACCATTTTACACAAACGTGACATACAAGTCAGACGCCACCACATTGCAATTCCCTGGAAGATCTAACTTCTCTTCTGAAGGTTGAGTCCATGGACACCAGCCCTCCCCGAGGTCTGCTCCTTCTGATGCTGGTGCCAGTGCTCCTGCCTTGGGGAGAAACCAGGGTGCCCTGAGGAGGTTGGCTGAGATCAGGGTTTCCAGTTTCCAGGCTGCTGGCTGCAAACTCCTGTTTTCCAAATTGGGATGCTGGGACCCCTCCCGACCCCTCTTCCAAAGACTGACCCTTGAGTCCACCTTGGGAAGAAGATCCACAGTGGGCAGAGCGGGACTCCTGGGAGCATCATGCTGGTTTTGGCAAGTATGTCTGAAGACTGATCTCCCCAAGCCCTGGGTGAGGTGACCAGCTCCTTTCGGCTTTTCGGTGTAAAATCACAGTGTGCAGCCTCAATTCCAGTTGACTGCAGCGAGCTCCGCCGAGTAGGACTCTCCTGTCAGTTCCCAGTCCTCTGGACTGGGACATCTTGAAGGTGTCAGGAGCACCAGGGATGAGGATGACAGCCCGGCTCCCAGAGCTGGGGGTCATAGGTGACCACTCACACGCGGTGCAGGTTATGACAGAAATCAGCAGGGGGACACTGACCAAGGGGATGGCAAACACAAGTCATGTGCAGGGCTGAAAGGGAAATAAGGCAAGAGCAACAGGACAGGCCCTCGGCATTGTCTTTAAGAAAGTTTCACTTTTACTTCCTCAGAAGAGGAAGTACTGGAGAGGGGGCAAAGAACAGTGTGGGAACAAGTTTTGATCAGCTGGATTAGCAGGAATGTAGAGCATAAAGTGGGGTTTTGCTTTCAACTAGGAAGCAGATCCTTGTTTTTGAAAGCCCCCTCCATCACCCTTGGCTTAGGACCTAGAGAAGCCCAGGTCAAAATAAGAACAGGCCACTAATTGGAGCAACAAAAACCAAAGATCCTAAGAACCATGAGTTAGCTCTTCCGGGGTGACTCACTGTACTGAAGGAAGCCTGGTTCATCCTAGCTCCTCAAGTGGTTTCTGATGTGGCAGGTTGCCCTTCTCACTAGGGAGGCCCCAGGCTCCTCTGGCTCCTCCTCTTCTTCCTCCTCCCCACACAGAATGAGAAACATCCTAATCTTTCCATGAGTCTAACTACCAACTTCACAGATTGGTCCCAACAAGATCTCTTCTAGGTCAAAGAATACTCAGATTTTCCCACCAGAATGGCAACCTATCATCTCTCCTAAACTATGGAAAACAAAGACTTGAACAAAAGTGTGGTTTTCAAACCAGAAGAGGAATGAATTTCAGCTTTTACTCACCTAGGTGTCTGGGATCTGTAAGCCTGACATGTGGCTGTCACCACCCTTGTGTCCCCGTGGCAACCTGGTGCCAGGATAGCGGGGCCAGGCTTGGAACCTGGGCTGGCGCATGCAAAGGGTGCTGTTTCTGCATTTTGGAAGGAAACCAGGAAAATGGCTGGAGGAAGGCTGAACTGTACAGCATCTAATGCTTTTTAGATCTGTCCTTGGGAAGACTAGAACCTCTGAGGCCAGGCTCCCTTAGCTGTCCTTGTTTAGATATAAGAAAACTGATTTTAAGGGGCAATGTCTCTAACTATGACTAAGTCCCTTTTGCTCCCTGGAAAGAGACTTTATATAAAAATAACCAAACCAAGGGATGAACTTAATTTTTCATTTGGCAACAATTTTTATATTTGCAAAGTGGAATTTTAACTGTTTAATAGGGTAGTGAATTTTACGTTTCAAGTGACCAAAAAAATGGGAAGAGAAAGGACCCATTTCTTACCTTTTTCAAACCTGCCATGAACACAATGAAACTTTAATAAGACTCTTTACTCTAAAGGGAACCAGCTACAAAACTGTCTTATATAGGAAAATGTCTTAAATGGAAAATGGTCCACTGGAGACAAAGATAGGAATGAGAGAAATGTCTATACATTCAGAAAAACTTGAAGAGCTCCTTAATAACATCAGGTTGTATTTCTACAGGTTGGAGAGCAAAAGCAAACACCAGTGACCAACTCACAGCAATAGAAGGAAGACAGGGAAGGCTCCGCAGCCCCTCACGGACTATAGGATTGCCCCATCCTGCCACGGGTCAGAGGAGGGAGAGATTCCAAAGGCTAGGTAGCTTCTCTGGCCCACACAGAACAGTTTGTAACGGAAAGAGACCCCTGGTGGCACCTGGATGAATTGCCACAATAATTTACAAAGAGGCTGTTTCAAGACCAGGAGGCTACACATGCCAGAGACAAAGAAAGCACACACCGGTGCGCACACTGTATGTGTGTTGTGTGTGTAAAACAAAGGTGGATTATATGTGATTCTGTAGTCAGGTCTAGCAAAAGCCAGATGCCACTGAAAGCTGGATGCAGAAGCCAACCATGTGGCAAGGCATCCCCTGTGGTCAGAGGGGACACACTTGAGTCCATGTCTTCATGATTGCCTTTGCAGATTTCACAGTGACCTGTTAATGAAAACTCTGTCTCTGGCTACCCTAAGAACAGCATTACTGCAGTTGGCTGGACTGCAGCGACCAGGGGAAGTAGAGGGCAGTGGGAAGGGACGGGAAAGGCAACAGCAAGGGCTTCGTTCTCAAGGTTTTGGGTGATGGGGAGGCTAATTCTGCAATAACAACTTAGAATCTAATTTTCAACTGAAGTCCCCAAGCTAGTTAAATAGGAAGATTTTAATAACAGTCAGTCCCTACAGTCCCCTTCTCTAGAACAATTAACTTATACCCCTCAGACAGTACAGGACTTGTCAGTGGACTGTGGGGAAGCTGACGAACTGACACCAGGGCTAGTGGCATTCGTTTTGGGGAAGACAGTGGGTTTGGGTCGTGTGGCTGGGGGTTTGACTGGGGCAGCCATCTTGACAGACTTGACAGGCCGGAAGGCACAGGCCATGTCCCCCGCGGTACTGGCACTGCGCTGGAAGGTGGGTTCAGGGTCCTTGAGGAGCTGGGTATGCAGGGGGCTGGAGGGCTCTGAGGTGGGAGCCACCACTGGTGAGGTTTTGAGGGGCTCCAAGGTGTCCAGAACCACATCAGGGGTGTGCTTGACACTGCTCTGCCGCTCCAGCTCCCGTAGCTCATTCAGGGCAGAGTTCATTGTTGCCTCAATATCCTGCAGAACAGGAAAAAGGAGATGAGGTGAACGAAAATACCAGGTCCAGGGACCTATTTCAACAAAATAGGCTGAGACACGAAGAAACCAGAGGTCCAGGTTATTTGGCCAAAGTCCTTGAACATATAAATCCTTAGAATGTGGAGGAAGAGGAGACAGAGTGATTATCATTTTCAAGTTCGCTTTTCCTGGTGACTGAGCTGATTTTGTTTTTTATTTCTTTCTTCACCCTCTGCCCTCTGTATTGGTGATTCCAGGGTTACATCTGGAGTCCTTAAAACTTTTTGTGTTTTGAGGGGGTCTTAGTTGTCTAGGGCGCTTTGAACTTGTCATTTTCCTGCATCAGCCTCCTGAGTAGGTAGGATTACAGGTGTGTGCCACCACCCTAGGCTGGCTGAACTGATTTTTTTTAACTAGTCCTTGGGTTTTAGAAAGAGGCACCGAATGGATGAAATACATACAATCCAGTGGCAGGACACAGGTAGAACTCAGAGTAGCTGGGAGCTCGGCTACTCTGAGGACTCAGGGATATGCTCACCTCTGTTTGAATGTGTACTAGTTGTAAAAAGAGGTAGAGGAAAGTGTAATCTTTATCTTCTTAAATTTGAAGGCTAAATTTTAGAAGCATCAACTGTTCCTCATTCCTCTGGAAAGTTCTAAAGCCCAGACTTAACAGGATCCCACGCCTCATTCATGGGAGTGTCCGACTTGTAAGGACATTCCCCTACCCACCACCACAGAAAGGGAACCACAGAATGGCCAGGAGGGGGAGCCAAAGCCCGCGCAGGTGAATCACCTTCTGCAACTCAGTGAAGCATTCAGCTCTCAGGAAACCAGTAGTCCTAGCCCACGGCTTAAGGCAGAACCAAAGAACTTTCATATGCAAACGAGCAGCTTCCTGGGGAGACTTCCCAGCTGCCCACACCAGCCAAACAGACTTGTCAGATGCCCCCATACCACCAGTGGACTCCTCCTTGTGGTAAATTAAGCTCACACTGACAGATTGCATGTTTTAAGCAAAGGCCCCCTTGTGGATTTTTTTGTGCTACAAAGCAACCCATGCTTTCTTTCAATAGTAATTCCATTTTCACTCATCTTGATGACAGTTTTAAAACTGTGTTGGTCAGGTTTTCACTATTGCCCAAAATCCCCAGTCCTCTCAAGCCTTTGAGATGCTTGCGAAGAACTCCATCTGCCCCCTCAGCCCAGCTCTGCAGCTGGAGTCTGTTCACCTGTGTTCCTTTTCATTCCCAGTAATGCCTGACCAAGAGATGACCAGGGAGGATTCCCATAGTGCAAGGCCAACTGCCAAGAGGAGCTTGAACAGAGGCATAGGATAGAAGGCAGCAAAGCAAGATATCATAGGCCCACAGCTTGATACTGGGCTTGCCAGGGACACCTCCTTAAGCAAAGCACAATGGAGCCCAGAGACCCAGCCCTAATGCTCCCTGGAAGGTGGAGTGAGAGAATCTCGACTAGATTGAGACTTCTGAGGGTCACAGCAAGATGTAAGTTCCTACCTGCTCTAATGTAAATTATACAGTTGAGAGAGACGTCTGAGAGCACTGGCTGGAGTGGCCCTGGCAGTCGGAGTTTTAGAGATGGGGCTGGCTCTCTAATTTTTCATGGAAAACAGAGAGTCATGAATATGGTACAGGTATGAAGGAAAACACTCTAATGGGGAGCTCATCTCTACTGCTGCTGGAGCCTTGGGCCACAAATGCTTTTAGTTCTCAGGCCCCTAGTGGCCAGAGTATTTTGGGTCTTCAAGGCCAGAATCATATTGTGGCTTAGTCATCTGCCTACTAGGTATCTGTGACAACTTTAGGAAACGGAATAACTGAGGTGGACAGAGCCATCTAGGAATGCAGTTACAAGTGTTTCAGAATCTCAACAAACAGCTTCACAAGATCTACCTGGGCTTTAAGACCCAAGACTTGGGCTGAATGGGCTCTACTCAAATACCTTAACTACTGGCTTTAAAAATTAGCAGCGCTGGGCTGGAGATATAGCTCAGCGGCATCAGTGCCTGCCTGGCAAGCACAAGGTCCTGAGTTTGATCCCTGGTACACACGCACGCGCGCACACACACACAAGGCTCTGCAAATGGCCAATGCAGTGGCACAAACTTAATTCTCTCCAAAGAGAACTGGAGTTGTGAGCTGAGTTGGACGAGAACCGAATCAAATTTCCCCATGAGTTCAATACTGAACTTAACCTTTAAATTTGATTCATTTCTCATCAATTCCATTAATGACCAGAATTGTAGAAAAAGTTCATAAACTGAGGCACCACTGTATCTGAGTGAGAAGTTAGAAGCCTCTTATTCTGTCTCCAGGGTCTTGTGGGAGATAGACAGTGGCTGGGCAAGGTGTCTGAGCCTGAATGCCCACTAGGTCTGGGGTTCAGCACAGTACATGAAACCCAGTGCTGCCTTGAGGTGTGTCACTTTCACAGGGGCTGCTCTGAGTGGCAATGATGAATGTGGACCCATGCTAACTGCTTGTCCAGGGCCCCCAGTTACCTGTGCAATGACCTCGGGGTCCATGGGCCTGTGGTTATTGAAGCTTTTGGACCTGCCTGCTGTGGCAGTCTTCCGGATTTGCGGACTGTCTAGCCGGTTCTTCAGGGAGGAGTGGCGGCTGATGGAGTTGAGGCTCCCATGCCCGCTGATGGAGCACTTATCTGCCCCTTCCTTGGGGAGACTCTGGCTCATGATGGGCTGGGAGGATGGGCGGCAGCTAGCCCCTGCTCCTGAAGAGGAGGAATCACTCAGGGAACTGCTCAGCCCATGGCTGTCACTTCGAAATGTCTTTCGGATGCTCCCAGGTTCTGGACGCTTCCTTTGCCTTCAATCATAAATAGAGAGGACCGAGTGAGCAGGGAGCCCCAGGTCCAATGAGGCCAGGATAGGGAGAGAGGGGCAGTTGTGGCACCCACGCGGGTGGGCAGGAGAGGCACATGGAGAGCCTTCTCTCCTCAGTCGCCTTCTCTTGCTTCCTCCCTGTGTCTGTTCCCTTGCCACCCCCAACCGGGGCAAAGAAGAAATGGATACTTACTTGTAAATCCTGGGCACTGAGCTCTCAACATATAAGTTGCTGTCAGAAAAAGTGTCCAAATAAGGGAAAGTGTCTAATGAGAGAGTCATGGGAAAACTGTGCTTTGAGTAGAAACCAAAGGCCCCAACAGGGAGAATTTCATCATCACCACCGAGGGAAGGAATTGCTGCTAAGAGAAATGTCAACTTTCCCAAGTTTTAGCTTATCTCTTGGTCTAGGCACAGAGACACTGGAGTGGTGGGCCCTGGCTTATTCCACAGACACCAAACAGGGGATTTACTTAAGGGGGAACGACATCCACATGAGTCCTGTGTCACCCAGCACTGGGCTGAGCCCTGGCTCTGAGCCAGTTTGCTTCACACATCTAAAACCCTCAAATGAAATAGCCTGGCAGAATCCTAGCTCTGAGCGGGGCCTGCTGCTGGGTAATTCCATGCCGCTTAGAGTGAGACTTAAGGGACCTAGCCTACAGAAAGCACGAGATGCTCATGCTGATGGCAGGTAGGGCAGACTCCACCATGCTGGGAGGTGAACATGACAGTAGGGAAGGGAGGACTGGGCAGTTAAGGGGCCACCTGTGAGGCCCTGTTCACTGCTGTGGGCTTCCTCATCTTTACAAACTGGAGCCTGCTCCAGGTCTTGGCCAGAGCAGCTGCTCCACCAATCTGTCTGATCAGCAGCTCTAGCCTTGTGAGTCAGCCACCCTCCCGAGTGGAAACGGATGCTGAGCCTCTGGAAGTCCTCCTGAAGCAAGCCCTCCTATGCAAAGCTTTCCGATACCACTCACTGCAGCTGCAGACAGAGCAGATCCCTCCCTCCCATGTTCGTTCAGGGTGCCCACAGCACTGCGAACTCTAGGGAGCTCGACACAAAGTGGATGCTTAATAAATGCGGAAAATTAAATCGAGAGGCCACACCCTGATGACTGTGATTTCCTTATTCCATTTGAGGATGGCTGACTCACAAATCTAAACTGCTGAGAAGGCAGACCATGGAGTGGCTGCAGGGAGCCACATCCCTGGCCAGCTCTGGGGATATAAAGATGAGGAAGACAAAGTTCCCCATTCCTGGGAGCTCAGCCTGGTGGGGGACTTGGCGCAATGTGAATACCACGAATTACTCAAGCTGCCTGAATACAGGGGGAGGGCATTTAACTCACCCCAGTGGAATCCAGGATGTCAGAAAGCTGCCCCCGCCCCCCAGGGGTAAAGTTTTGGGTGGAATCTTGAAGGAAGGAGAGGAACTGACCAGGTAAGGGAGGAGCTGGCAGATGTGAAGACCTACTGGGAGAGAGCCAAGCGCCCTCAGGAACTGAAGGAGCTTGCTTGAGAGGGGAAGCGGGAGGCCAGGAGGTAGATTCACTCCGAAGGGCTGGAGGTGCTAAGGGCTGCCTCTTCCACCCACCGCTGGTGTCTGGGTAGGCCATGGGACAGAGGCCTGTCCTCCGAGAGCTTCAGTGTGAGAATTCTCCCACCACGCAAGCAGTTCAGGAGACACGGACTTTCTACCAGATGTTTATCTTTTGACTGTTTAGCTGTCACTCGCCACAATTATTTTGTACAAAGGCAACAAGTATATGATGGCTTAATAATATATCCCTAGGACTGGGGTTATAGTTCAGTGGTAGAGCACTTGCATGGCATGTGTCAGGCCCTGGGCTCCCTCCTCAGCAAAAAGAAAAAGTCTGTGCATAACTAAATAGCTAACTCTCCCTCCACCAATCCTGCTTTGGTTTCTGGCCTAATACCTGGCTTATAAGCTTATGACTGTAGGCATATAACTGACCTACACTTGCAAATAAGGAGAAAAAAGATGTAGCTCACAGTTCTTGCTTACTAGTTTGTCTTCCCACCAGGGCAGTGTGCTGAGGGAAGTATAAAATTCTCAATTTTTTTTACAGGTCTGAATTAAGTTATAGCTAGACTGAGTTAGTGAGCTGAATATACCACTTTATGAACCGGAAAGTGAAAGCGATGGAAACGAGCCACGTGACCCAACCACTCCCCTGCTACCGTCTGGTTGGAAAGAAGCCAAGAGATCTGGCAACCTGGTGTGGTTTAAAAACAACAAGCATCTTTTATTCTCCTTCCAGTCTCGGTGTCCAGAGGCTATGGTTAACAGGTTTTCAAAGTGCAAATCATTTCATTCCTCCAAAGCCAGAAGGGAATAAAAACTGTACATCATCTCCAATCCATATTCATCAGGAGCGCCCTGGGGCTTGTCATCCTGCTGGCACTGGGCCAGGTTTCAGGGTCTGGCGGAGAGAGGTCTGTAGGCTTTGGGACTTGGTGTCTGGCCCCTTGAGATGAGATTAGTTCTCCAATAACCTGAACGGCTCTCGGGGAGGCAGCAGCACGCGGGTGGCGCGGGATCCCTCTAGACAGCCGGCTTGGGTCTGGGTGGAGTTAAAACCCTGGATGTTGCTAAAGGCCACAATGAAAGCTGGGGGGCAGAGGGAAGAGCCTGCCGGACAGGAGTGAGACTGGACAGGGACTGCTCCGGAGCATAACACACAGGGCTTAAGCAACAGGAAAAAAATGGAACATGATTTCTCCCAGTTTGTAAGGGCAAAAGAAAAGAGCACTGGGTCACATGGGGAGTGAAGGGCCCAGGGCCCAGCTCGCCCTGGGCGCAGTGTTCTTCCTCTTCTCCCAGCAGCGGGTGGAGGAAACGGGGAGACAGACACGTGACATCTAATGAGCCCACCTGGTGCGGCTGAGCATGGTGGGAAACACACAAGACTGAATCTCTGACCAGACAAAGGTCAAGGAAGACATCCAACACTATTGTTTGAGTAAGAATTGGAAAAGAGAAGGCAACTCTAAGAAACAGTACAAAACCAACTTGCATAATGTGGCCAAAGTTTTAGCTGTGAGACTGCCAAGGAGGCTGGGGCTGACAGACAGTGCAGGAACACACAGGAGAACACGCTGCCACAGCATGACGCAGCGAGCCGGAGCCCTGAGCCTCCTGTGTTGCTTCACAGCAGCATTGAAGACATGCAGACTGTTAGGCCCCATGAGCAACGCAGGAATGGGGATTAGGCCAGGGGTGAGGCTGGGTAGTGGGAGTTGAGTTGTTCAGGGGAGCAGAGAATGAAAAGCAGCGCTTACTTGTTGATGTTTGCAAGATAAATGTCAGCTACGTGACCCCCACTGGGACAGCTGGCCCCCGCTCTGGGTGTCACCTTTTCTTCAGGTGGTTCAGAAATGACCTCAATCTCAGACTTGGGGCTGGACCTCTCCGTGACACCGTCCTCGCTGGGGTAGCAGGGCAGGCAGGCAGGTGGGGGGAGAACAACAACACAAAAAGCAGTGTTAAATAGGTGAGATGGCCCCCCCTGACGTAAACACGCCCCCGCATGGCTTTGAGGCAGCAGGCAGTACCCAGTGGGGCCAGCTCTACAAGCAGAGACAAGGACATCTAGGGGCCTTTGGAGGATCGCTAAATAAACATAAATAACTCGCTGAGTTCTGCGGGATCCTCAGCTCCTCCTGAGGGCTTGGCTAGGGGACGCCTGGACTGGAGGCATCTGCCTTCTACTCCACGCTGCTTGCCAGGGGTGGCCATGCAGGGCCACCTCCTAGAGGAAGCAGAAGGAAGTCCAGGTGGTAGTTTATGTGCTGAGGTCCCAAGCACTGCTGGGTAAGGACAATCAGCTCTGTGGTGGCTCTGGAGATGCCAGCATTGAGGGAGGACACAGCCACACGGCCACACTCTTGTAGCACACTTAGCCCAGCTTAAAGTGTCCACGCCGGCCCCAGGTCTCCACTGTTCTCCAGGCCCCTCTGGCTAGTGATCACAAAGAAAGCCCTTCTCTCCTAGCATTCATCTTCTTGGTCCCGTAGTGAAGTCATAATGCTAAATTTGGGAGGGTTCTGTCTGCACACAGATCGCCACCAGATTTGTGATGTTATCAACACAGGGAGGATTTCCCTGCAGAGCTGCAAGCCGGGAAGAGGTTGGGAGGGTGCAGACTCATTCAGGATATCAACCTTTAAAAAATAATAGTAAGGGAAAGACTAAAAACAGTGACAATGTCATATCCAAGGGAAGTGAGTAGGGGCAAAGGGATAGGGAAGAGGGCTGGCCTGGGCAATAGGGGATGTTCTTTCAGCCCAGTGGACAGTGCTTCAAAGGGTGGGGACCAAGTGAGAGCACATCTAATGAGGACTCAGGGACCAGCTTAGCTTCCCTTTGTTCCCAGACATCTTTTCCTTCCTTCTCCATCTCACCCAAATCAACCTCATGTGGGTTAAATGAACTGGGGTCACTTGTACAGGGTGCTTCACCACACTTCTGGGAAGTGACCTGTCATGTTCATGTGGAGGCAGAAGAGAGCCACCAGCATTCCGGTAGTTGGAATGTACATGGTTTTTTTTTTTTTAAGGTGGTGAAATAAAAATGTCTCCCTAATCTAGAAAGGCAATTTATGAGGTGACATCAAAGCCCACATTACCACTCCTCAGGTGTATGTGTGGGTGCTAGCTGGCAGGTTCATAAACAAATGAATGACAGAGTGATTCAAAGGGGGATCAGAGGGGAGAAATTGAAAAACCTTCTCCACTGAGTTGGGGGGAAGTTCCTCTTCAGGGACCTGTGAGCCTCAGGCCCCTTTTGTGCTCCTGGGAGGGATGGTCCTATAGTTCCCAACTGAAGTCTCACTTCTATAGTGCAGCCAGGGGCCACCCCTAAATGTGTCTGTCCCTACATACGTGTCTTGGACCACGATGTACTGATGGGGGATGAGCCCATCGATGCCATTGTGCCGGCCTTCCCACCAGTCGTCAGAAGCCCTCTGGTAAAGCAGCAGTGATGCCCCTTTCTTGAAGGACAGCTCTCGGGCTGTGCGGCCCACGTAGTCAAACTTGGCAATGGCCTCTATGGGCTCGCACTCTGGCAAGGGTAGAGAAGGAGGAAACACACATCGTTAGGACCTACGGACTGAGGAAATGGGGTGGGAAAGTCCCCTGGGTGTACAGTGCGGGAGGGTAACCTGTATGAAACATAAGCAGGGATGATGGCAATTCCTGTCCAGCCCATGCTGTCACCCTGAACGAGCTGTGTCCTTCCCTGCCTCTGCACCACTGTCCCCTCACCTTGACTTCCTCTCTTTCGTGAGATGTGTGACAACCCTGTTATGTCTAGCAACTCCTTTGTGTTTCCATACAGTTTGGTATGCTGATCCCTCTATGACCAAATTTGCTATGCTCTAGTTTTAAGCATTATTTCTTTTCTGATTATGTAGTAACTCCACTAATTACAGAAAATTTATCATACTATATTTTAAGTAACTTATTTATGTTACCCATTCTCCACAGTAGAATAGAAGTTTTTCTTTTCTCTTAAAAGAAAATAACTGCTGGGAAGATAGCTCAGTGGTCTAAGTGCCTGCCTGGCAAGTACAAGGTCCTGGGTTTGATCCCTGGTACCATATGCTGTGCCAGGCCAGAACCATGCCAGTCACCAAAACTGGGCATGGTGGTGCATGCCTGTAATCCCAGTACTGGAGAGACTGAGACAGGAGGAACATTACAAGTCCAAGCTGCATTGTGAGACTCTGTACCAGACAGACAGACAGACAGACAGACAGACAGACAGACAGACATACAGAAAGAAAAGAAAAGGTTAAAAAAAGATAACTGGTCTGGTAAACTATGGAAAAACACACAGGAAAATAAACTGAAACATTACAGTGTACTTTTACTTTTGTGTAGGCTTCTGTCTCACTCATAAGTGGGGATTATAAAGTGCCCTGTTCCTGAATGGGTAGGAGCAGCCAATGGACGCCACTCTGTGAACGTGTGAGAACAGCTGTGTGCATTGGTCACTGTCCTCACCATCCTGTCTGCTCTAGGCTGCAGGTATGGACTAGACAGTGAAGAGAAGATGCCCAGAAACCTAGATCCTGAATGTCAGATCTGCTGTGAAGTGGAGAAGAATGCTGGACAAAAACAGGATCACAGCCAGGAGACGTGGTGCGCAACTGTGATCCCAGTAGAAGGTGGATGCACGAGGGCCACAAATTTGAGCCCAGCCTGTAGCAAGACCCTGTTTCAAAATTAAAAAATAAAAAGGGCTGTGGCTATAGCTCAATGTGAAGGCCCTGGGCTCAGTCTCTAGGACGGCAAAACAAACACAACGGCCATGCCCACACAGCCTGGCTGGTCACTGTTAGTCTGCTCCTAACAGGCTGGGCCGATTTCACTACAGCAGGCCAACCAGAAAAGGTCTCCCTAGGTTTCCTGATGTGTTCTCTACACCTTCACTGCCACTTGACCTCTCTGACCTTCATTTTCTCAACTGGAAAACAGTGGTCCTATCTATTTCATTAAAGATCAAGAGACAAAATATACGAAGCCTCTAATAAGAGTTGAGATGAGGCAGCTCTGGCCCAATACTAAATTCCTTAGCTCACCTACTCCCCTCATAACGTAGCAGATGACCTTCCTCCCACCAAGATCTATGTAAGCTATCCTAATGTTTTTCTCCTTTAAAAGTTGGCTCAGGACTGCAGAATTCATTTGAAGCCAGGGAGGAAGCAGGCAAAGCCCTGCAAACAGTGCCATTTTATTCTTCTGCCCAGAAAATTCTGAAGCCCCCCGTCAGCTGCTGTGCTTTCGCAAGCCCAAGTGATACAGAAATGGAGGTGTGGAGCTGTTTGAAGTGGGAAAATATGCTGGCTGGACAGATCCTAATAAATCACAGGGACTGCAGAGAGGCTCAGGATGACAGCTGAGCATTCCATTTGGCCCTAGGCACATCGTCTGAGTGAGGAAAGGGAGGTTTTTCCCGTCATCCAGGCAGCAGGCAGATGAGTGAGCAAGGGGTTCCTGTGTCCTCCTATTCACTCCCCTGGCTCACTTCTATTTGTTCTTGGCACTCAATTTTCTAGTCCTCACGCCTGCTGGTTTTCAAAGTATCTCTTTTTCCCTTTGGTCTTCACTCCATTTGGTAGGAGTTGGGGACTCAAGAGGGGACCAACATCCTGCAGTACCCAAACTGGACAAGGAGCTAGGAGGGGTCTAGCTCTTCACCTCTAGTTTAATACAAAGCCTAGTCTAGTGGGGTATGACCCTCCTACGAAGGGAGAGACGAAAGACAGGACAGCTGCCTGCTGTCCTCAAGGGACGGCCAGCACACAGAACCCGACTTGCACTGGCAGCCCCACCGAGCAGGAAGCAGGAGCTCATACCATCATCACTTGTGTGGTGCTCTGTGGTCACATCCTGGGTGGAGTCTTCAGCTGAGGTAGTCTCTCCATGAGGGCTATCACTGCAACAGAAGAATGACCAGGATGTCAGTGACCGCTTGCAAAAATTTCCTCTTCCCCTATGGACTGCCTCCTGGGAGCAAGAGCATCAGATCAATCCAGAGCCCACTACACCTGGCACATACACACAAAAAATACTAGTAATGAGACCTACAGCTCCACTGGTCCTTTACTCTAGCTCCTGCTACAAGAACTGCTGGAGACTATGTAGGACTTAGACTCAAGGGAAGCCTTTAGAAGTTATTGAATGAATTCTTTAGAAAACACAGAACAGGTCATGTCCTCTAGGGCTGATTCTCTAGTTGAATTTGTTCCTGTTTCCTGACGAGGGACTACAGTAGAGACTTTCCTGTCAGATCCAGCTGAATCAGGTACCACTATGTGACCCTGAGAACTATACCGTAATCTCTTTCCTGCTCGCCTCAGTATCTCACCATATACTGAGGACAGTGCTCTGCCCTCCTCCGAGCGCTGTGTCAGGTGTTAATGATACCATTTAGCAAAGCATTTGGAATGCTTGATAAAGTGGTTTTTCTTCTCTTCTTCTTTGTCCCTTTTTTATTTTATTTTTCTTTTTGTTGTACCAGGGATTGAATTTAGGACCCTGCGCTTGCCAGGTGGGCGCTTAATTCTACTGAGCTATCTCCCCAGCACAAAGTTTTATTTTTCCCTTTTTTCTTTTATATTAAATTTTTGCATTGCTGAGGTTGAACCCAGGGCCTTGGGCATGTGGGCAGGTGCTCCACCCAGTTAGCTACATCTCAGCCCCTCCTCACTTTGTTCACCTTGCTTGATGCCCTCAGATACTTTGTGCTTTAGTGTGAGGCATGGGTTTGATGGGGATGAGAGGGAGAAGGGGGAAAAAAAAACCAACCAAAAAACAAAACAAAACAAAATTCATCTTTAAAAAAAGTCTTTCAGGGTAGAGAATCAAGAATGGCCAGTGGAAAAGTAGACAAAGACACTGTTTGTACCTGAGGTTTCTACCTCGAGCAGTTCACAGGACCGAGATGGCCTTCCCAGATGATGCCCACCAGCCCCAGCCTCTCCTTCCCCAAGGTACAGGCCCTGTAATCCCAGGGTGCTTTGCAAAGATGGAGTGACCAGGACCAAGGGGGCTTCTCTGACTCCACAGAAATTCCAGGAGAGCACTAATAGGGCTTCTTCTCTGCCAAAAATGTGAGCATAATTCCTTATGTTTTCTAGGCCTAAAGCCCCTTTGATAAGTGTTGTGACATTCTGGAAACTGGGGCTCTCAGGGTGCACAGGGCAGAGGCAGTCCTTTCCACGTGGCTGTGTGCTCAGCGGGGAGTTCTCAGACTGCAGGAAGCCCCGGTCAGCTGGTTAACTCCATGGCCCCACCCTAGCACCCACTGCTGGATCTGGCTGGAGCTGGAGAATCTGCATTTCTACCCAGCCCAGCGTGACCTGGGTGCTACTGGTTAGAAGCCAATGTGCGGGGCTGGGGACATAGCTCAGCAGTTTAAGCCCTGCCTGGCAAACACAAGGTCCAGAGTTTGATCCCCAGTACCAGGGGAAAACAAAACAAAACAAAAAAAGAAACCAATGTGGCAAAATGATAGTTCCTCAGGTCCCTTCTGGCCCTAAAATCCTATGTGTCTCTCATTCCAGACCCCAGCCCTCCCTGCCCCAACCCCCAGGCCCACAGTACCTGAGGACCAGAAGGAGCTGCCACATACCCTACAGGCCGTTCTAGAACACTGCATTTCTGTTTCAGCACTGGCAAGAGTGGAGAAATGGGTTTGCCTATAGCTGAGGGGAGGACAAGTAGCCAAGTGGGGGTCTGTTTCATGGACATTCTCCAGGAGCCTTGGAGATCCCCTCTTTCATTGTCTTAGCCGACTTTGCTGGCACTTCTCTTCCCAGAGGAGGAGAGATGGGGAGCCTCTGAGTAGGTCTCAACCCATGTTACTGAATACTGCTCACCTGCGCCTCTGGTCTGACCTAGACTGCGACTGTGGTGTAATAAACGTAAAATGCACAACACCCACAGATCTGTGGAAAAAATGGACGAAGGTGCATACCTTTCAGGGGTTGGAGAGGAGGGGTTCTGTGCTCTGGGAGGTCCAGAGCCTATGGTGGTTTGCTATTTCAGCATAAGGGCAGACATTCTGCCTGACTTCACTCCTCTGGAGAGGGACAAAAACATGAGTCCTGTGCACAAGGCCTGCTCCCTAGAGTCACCAGCCCCTGGGCTGAGATGAACTGACCGACATCCCTACGCACCACCAGCCATCTATCAGTGACAGAACCTTTCTCTCCCAGCCAGTCAGCTGAGGTTCTTTCAGTTTGGGCCCAGACCTGGACTCTGCAACATGGCAGAGAAGTGAATCCAGAATGTCACTGCTACTGGGATGCTCACAGGTACAAATGTCACTTTTTTTCACTCTGTAGGCAGTAGGCTGTGCTTGGGGGTCAGGGAGAAAGCATGGCCCATTTGGCCTCTAACTAAGTAAACGTCATCTCCTGGCCTCCCCTACCTCAGTGGATAGCAATGGGGCTGGCTGAATTGGTTCCAGATGTGGACTTCAGCAGATTCTGACTTGGGCTGGCTTGTCCTTTCAGCTCAGGCTGAAACACTGTTCAGGGGAAGGAGGGAGGGAGGTGACATCAGGGGTTATGAGAGACTCAGCTATCTGCATTTGGTGGAAAAATGGCACTGTGAGCGTATCATGGCAGGCTGTATGAGGAAACAATGGTGCTGGGTACTGCAAGACCAGAGGTAAGGCTGTGTCCCCCTCACTGAGGTGCCCTCTGGGTTATGGAGACCTCCTCTATAACATGGAAACAGATTTTCATCTGTTGGAAAATGACTGCATTATCTGCCCAAGGGAGGGGGTGCCTAGCAGCGCTGTGCCCCAGGGATTCCTCCCGGCCCTCTGTTCTCAGGCTCTGCCATGAAAGCCATGCCCTGTGGAACGTGATCCTGCCTCAGGGTGGGATGAGGTCAGACCTGTCCCAAATGGAGCTGAGTCCTCCCCCTCTTCACACGTTCTTAGAGCATTCTAATGTGGAAATTACATCTCACTACCTAAACTCTCCTGAGTAAGGATGGATTCCCTGGGACCCAGCGCTGCTGTTCTCAACGCACAGCACAGAGTGGAGGCCGAGGGGGGGCTTCTGACTAACGAACAGCAGTTTCACACACAACCTTGCAAAACCTCCTTTCCTGGAGTATTAGCACTGCTGTGAACACTGTCACGATCTTTCACAATGGCCCCTCTCCACTCAGAACTCATAGAAAAGGGAGGTGGCAGGTATTCCATAGGTGGGCTGAGGTGGGGCTCTGCTTGTAACACTGCAGGCCGTGGCAGCTGACAGGCCCAAGTGGGGCTGGAGGCCCTGGGTGTTTCCCTTGGCCATCTGCCCCGCCATGCCAGTGTGTGCTGGTGACTCTTCCCATCTCCACCCTGATTCCCTACCAGTAATCCTCCATGCTTCCTCCTCTGCTGTAGACGGGGCCCTCCAGCTCCCTGGGGTTGGGGAAGATGTTCTCGTGCTGGATGATGATGGTTTTGATCAGCTCGTTCACGTGGGCTTGGCAGGACACCTGGTCATGGCCCTCCGGCACTGACATCAGCGAGGGCCCAAAGCAGATGGCGAGGTTGTAGGGGTCCATCATGTTCTCTTCACTGAACTGTGATAAACTGGAGGAGAAGGCAAAGGGGGCAAGCTGGAAAGCTCTCGCATGAATGCCCAGAAAACACAATCACAGGAGGCACTGCCAAGGGCAAAGGCAGAAGGTCCGCAAATTGCCACCTGCCTTTCTGGGCATCAGAGCCTCCCAGAAAGTCACCTGGGGACACAAGAGTGACCACCAGATGGTCATTCACGAGCCAGAGAAAGGTAGAGTGGAGGTACTTGCTTATAAGTCTGACCTGTCCCTCTCTCCAGCTCCCCATTCAAATCTACCTTCCTACCTCCTCCTCCTCATCCCTAACCTGGACTTTACCCACCATATCACTCTCCCTAGAGAACATGTCACCCTACAAAGCTTAGTATTGTTCTCGAAGCCCAACTCACTGAGCCACCAGAACAGACAGGGAGCCTCGGCTTGCCCTGGTAATGGGCACTATGCACTGTGTACCTTCTTAACAGAGCAAAATAATCAAACTATTAGGGCTATCCCACTCCTGCTTCTAGATTAATTAAAAAATAGCCAACTGATTAGCCTTTCTATTCCACTAAGACAGTGAATTTCTTTCTCAAATGGCTATTGCAATTGTTTCTCACTTTTGTAATATTCTCTTACTGCCTCCAGGATTTATGCAGGAAAACATCAGTGCGCTGTTCAGACTCTGCTAGCGCTTCCTTCAGATGTGGGCCGACTTCATCCTTGGCTATTCACTTACCCCGGGAACTCCTGCTGCTCAGCCAGCAGTTGCTCACCACACCCTCAATCCAATCCTGGCCAAAGATCCAAGGCCTTCAGTGGGCCACGGTGCCTGGTAAGCCCCTACTGGTAGTTGCCTAGTTGAGTCCAGAATGCTAGCCCAGCTCTGGCCAAATCCCTGTGTAGCTCACAGAATTGTGAGCTCTGTGAGGTGTGTGGCCTGCCCCGGACACCAGCGGGCACTGTTTAGCAGCGATTCTGACAGGTCCAGCCTTCTGTAGTTGTTCTTCTGAACTGAGTGGAATTTTCTTCCTAAGTGAGTAAAAGTCACATCCAGACTCATGTTACAAAGCTGGTTTTCTCCCTTGTTTGAGGCTATTCTGAGGCGTACCTCAGGCCCATTTGAGAATCACTGCACAACACGCAAGGTGGTGCCATGGATATGAACCCCAGTCACGGGAGAAAGAACTGAGAATGCTTGTTCTCTAGGACCTAGCATTAAATACAGGAGTGCTGGAGGAGGATACAGATCCAGTGGCTAGACTGCTTCACAGGAGTTCTTAGGATTTAATTTTATAATCCTTCTCTGCATCCTAAATTAAAAGGAAGTTTCTAAGTCTTCCTGCTTACCCTGGATGAAGAGGAAAGGAATGGTTGGGAGATAAGACAGTTCAAGGCTACTGTGGAAGCAAATCCTAGGCTGTCCAGAGACAGGGTGCCTCAGCACCCTGGTTTCTCAAGCGTTTTGGTGAAACTACAAGAAAGAAAACCAGTAGTTTCTGGGAAACCTGGTGGCCAAAAGGGTACGAACTCTAGCCCCTACTGTGTCAAATGAAAATGCTATGACACATGAGGAATGATGTGATGCTTACTAATGAAAGAACTGTTCAGCTTATAGGTGGCGACAGTGACCAATGGGCTTGAGGGAGGCCTTAGCTTCTTGGGCTGTGGTCTCATGAACTGAGGTCCATTCTGTGACTTTCCATAAAAAGCAGGGTAAATATGCAAGGCCATGGGTTCAATTCCCAGTACTACAGAGGAAAAATAAAAAGACCATGGTCCCTTTCTCTCTAGGGGCTGACCACTAGCTCTTAACTACTGTATGTAAGGGGCATAGTTTTCAAGAATGTGGCAAGAGGGCCAGGCACAGTGGCTCATGCCTGTGGTTCCTGAGGCAGGAGGACTGCTTGTCCCCAGGAGTCTGAGGCAGGCCTGAGAAAGTGTCTCTGTCTCAAGCAAGCAAGCAAACAAAAATGAATTTGATCAAAAAACAGGTAATCTATCCTCTCCAATTCATATGTGTGAATATACAATACATACAATTTTGTATAACATGTCATGATGTTAAAGCCAGTGTAAGATCTCAGTCATGGTATATTTGTATTTAAAGAAAGATCTAAAATAGAGAGCACTGATAATAACTTCCTGTTTAAAATAAGGTTTTGTTTTTTTTTTGTGCTGACTTATCTTCATGCCATCGCTTCTAAGAATTAAGCTGTACCTCAATAGCTTTAATCCATTACAGTGGTGAATTCTCCTGATTTGAACTCATCTTCCTCTTCGCATCCTAAAAAGGCTGGGCACTATGGTTAGGAAGCAGGGCTTTTAGAGTGAGGAGGCAGTCAGGATTGGTAAGCGAAAGCATGCTTCTCAGCATGCGCTTTTCAGGATATTTTACTTTTTGATATGTGCCACTGTCTGCCTGAGTGAATAAAAAGGCAAAAACAGCCCAAGAAGTTTAAAGTAGGCATAGTTTTGGACTCCTGTCTCCATTGCTTACTAGTTCTACAGCACGGCTGTAGTTCCTTAGTTTCTTGACTATAAAAGAGGGGTGAGGATCTGCCTCCTTTATGAGGCTGCTGGGAAGACTAACTGGGGTGCTGTCTGAAGAGCCCTCACACTATACCTAGAACATAAGTGGTGCTCATAAATATTTTCTGTGAGGAGAATACTCTGGTTGCTTTTTGATAAGGCACCCCTATTCTAGTCAGGGAACAGAGGGCAGGGCTGCTGACCTCTGGCAATGATTAAAGCACAGAACTCTACCCATCTTCCCCAGCAGGTATTATCTAATGAGCTGATCTTGACTCTAGACCTCAAAATCAAAATCTTACATTTTCAGGACCCTAAGCTTTGTACAGATATTTTTCTTCTTTTTTGGTGCTGGGGATGGGATCCAGGGCCCAGTGCATGTGAGGCAAGTGCTACACTTATGTCCCCACCTTGACTTCAGATTTGAAAGAGAGAAAAAGCTGTGCTGTGTGGATGACCCAGGCTGGGAACCATGACGCCCTTAACAGACGTCATTTGTACCTGCTGTTTCCGAATTGCTCGTTTCTTCTCTACCCCTTCTATGGAATGTACTGTTCCCCCAATGTGTATGTTGGAGCCCTAGTGTGACTGCATTTGGGGGCAGGGCTGTAACCTGATGGGACTAATATCCTCTAAGGAAGAGGAAGAGATAACAGAGCTCTTCCCAGCATACACAGAAGGCCACAGTGGACACAGTGGCAGGTTGGTGGAGCACACTTCTGGCGCATGGTCACAGAGGCGAAGCCTTGGGTGCTGCGGATAGGCCCTTGCCTGTCCCTTCCCAGGGCTATGATCTAAGCAGCTCTGCCCCATCACACCCTCCTATCATGATGCTTCTGCTTACAGCCAGCTGACTAGGGAATGGATTCCCCCAAACTGGGAGATACTAAGCCTTTCCTCTTTAGGTTGTGTCAGGTATTGTGCCAAGCAGCTAACACAGAGGCTGACTGTAAACCAAGGAGAGAGCTTCACCAGGAATCACACTCTGGCACTTTGGGCTTGGATGTCCAGACTCTAGAACACATGAATATGTCTAAACTTCAGCTGTTCAAGGCACCAGTCAATGGGATTTTGTTACGGCAGCCTAGGAAGACTAGTTCAATTTTCCTCTCTTCCTTTCCACTGTCTTTATTGTAAAATACCTGTAACATAAAATGTAGCATTTCAACCATTTATATATTATAGGCACACACACACACACACACCTATAATCTCAGCACTCGAGAGGTCAAGGCAGGGCAGGCTTTGGTCAGTGAGGGAGGAAAATGACTGCTGATCCTCAAGGAACTGACTCAAGAGTAATCAGAAATTTCCAGGCCACATGGGAACACGTTTGGCTCCCTGAAGAGTTTTAACTCAAAGCCAGTTGGGGTCCTGAGGCAGGGCCTAGCCAGTGAACAGGACAGAAAGTGTCATGGAGGAGGTGGGCCGTGGAATCCTTCATAGCTTTAAAGGGCAGCACTGGAGTGACACGATGGTTAGGTGCCCTGAAAGGTCTCAGAGGCCACTCACCCCAGTGTCTGTAGGAGCAGGCTGACTCTGAACTTGTAAACAAACTGAGGTTTGTCAGACAGTCTTTAAAGTTGTACTCTTAAAGTAAAGATGAGCCATATAGGAAGTCTTTTCATTTTCACCAAGAAATAAGTGATCAAACACTCTGGCCCCTTGATTGCCTCGGATTCCCTCATTCTGATAAATTCATGGATCCTGAGAATGGTTTCAGTCAGTCTTAGAACTGGGGAGGAACAGGGACAGCTGGGACTGTGGTGACCTAGAAGTGCCTGTCCCAGCTGGGGGCAGCCCTGACTCCACAGGGAACTGTTGCCATATCAGCATGCAGGTCCAGTACTGTCAGACTGAATGACTTTTCAGAAGAAGCTGGTGAAACCCCCAAATATTATAAGCTCTTTCATTGCTTCTGACATACAACAAACCTGAAGGAAACACACTGAAGCCCCATCTGGCCCTGCTCAAGTCCAGGCGTTTGGGGGTGAAGCCTAAGTACATGGAAGCCAAGTGAAGACAGGCTTCTGAGAAGGCCAGTGCCCCATGTTCCTGCTCGATGCCTTCACAGCCACGTGGGGAGCCTCATGCTGGCCCTGGGCCAGGACACTCTGCTTACATAAGAAATGCTTCAGCCAAGCCCAAGGTCCCCATGGTCCTCAGAGCTTTCTTCTGGCCACACTCATACCCCAGGTGACCAGCTAAATAGTACCGACGCAAGATGACTTGCTTCTCCACACTTGCACTCAGGTGCTCCCCTACTGTCAGAACCCTATGTTCAACTGCTGAATTGCGACTGGGATGGCTAATGGGTGCTTCACATAGGTTCGCAGGGGCCCCTTGACCTTGAGAATGGTCTTTACACCTGTCTTCTTTAACTCCATAGATAACATCACAGTTTCCCTGTTCCTCATGCCAAAAAAGTAGGACTTCTCTTTTCCCTCACACTGCACATCCACTCCGTGAACAGGCCCTGTCACTGTTTCATGTAAAATATCCTCACCTGCATTTTCCTGCTTACCCACCCTTCTGCCTAGCCAGCTGTTGGCCAACCACACAGCTGTTCAGACAGGACCCCTTCTCATTGCAAGCCCTCCCAAACTAATACTGCACACAGATCAGATCATTACACTCCTCCCCCTAAATATCTCCCAGCCACTTCCCAAACCCAAAGCCATGCTTATCAATGGCTCTCAAGTCTTCAATGTACCCTTCAGTGGCTCTTTTTTCAATCTTCAGGCTGTTGCTCATACCCTGTCTTCTCAGAGGCCTCTGTGGACCTCCTCTTAAAAATGTTCTCCTATAGCTCAGGCTGACCAAAAACTCACAGTCCTCCTGCCTTAGCGTCCCAGTGTTGTGATTGTACGCATGTGCCATGGTATCCAGCCTTCAGCCCCTTCTTTAATCCTTTTCTCTTCTAAGCACTTATCCTATCTGAGATACCTGTTATTCCTCTTTCCTGGAACATGAGCGAAACAACATTTCTCATTCAACAATTTGTTCTTACAGCCCAGCACTGCGGTTGGCATGCTACAAGCACTCAGTACATATGTGCTGGTGTGAATGAACAGACAGGTCTGGCCAGAACTTCCAGTAGCCAAATCCCTGTGTTCACTGGGGTGCCTACTTACTGATTGAGGAAGGCGAAGAGGTATCTCATGATTATCAGAGTGGTTTTGGGTAGGGCAAGGAGGACTTTCCGGATGTGCAGAGCTCTCTCCTGCAGGTTGTCCATTGCTGAAAGAAAAAAGCCATGTGTCATAACATACTGCGACTGAGACCCCAGAAGGAATGGTCAGAAGGTCTTGTCACCAGCCCAGGGCACTGGATCCTGTCAACACAGCATGAGAACCCAGTGACAAGACTGTGAAATTGGCTACTTTTTGAGGGGTGGGCTGTCTCAAGAGACCATATATCACCGCTGTGCCCTGGGACAGAGGAAGTATTGGAGTGCTCCATTCCCTGCATGTGCATCTACCTTGCTCATCTCAGAACAACCACAGACAACAGGCTACATGATGTTCCACATCCAGCTAAAAAGGGCCCTGTCTGGCCTGCTTGCTATACATGCGCCACTACCCCTCTTTTTGACAAGGCCACTTGTCTGCCCCCTCTCATCTGCAGTAGGAATGAGTAGGATGTGGCCAGAGGCAGGGGATGGCAGCCTCTGTGCAATCACCCCTAATTCTCACTGTGTGCATCAGTTTAGGCTACAGATATGGCCCCAGGCCCTGTGGCTGCTGCTGTGGACAGATGTGCAGTGTGTCATAAGGACACCATCATTTTTTTTTTTTTTTTGACACCATCATTTTGTATAAGTGATGTTATATGAATGTTATTTTCCATTATGGCCTTTATAAAAAAAAAAAAAAAAAAAAAAAAAAAAAAAAAAAAAAAGGAAGTACTGTGTTAGGAACAAGAGATGTGTCAGGGATCTCGGGCTCTCACAGCAACCACAGCCCCGCTGAAGGGGCTCTGCCTGGTCCAGCCCTGGCAGAGACATGAAGACAATGAAGACATGCCATAAGGATGCACATCCTCAATCGCACACATAACTCACTTCCGTTACGGAGAGTCCCACAGGTAAGGGGACAACAGAGACACTGAGACAGCAAATTTCTTGAATGCTTTAGGCTCATGAGGGCAAACGCTTTGAGCTTCCAATGATATAAACACCAGGGCAATGGGTGCCATAGGTTCACCACCAACATTCTTGCTGTTCTGAGTAACTGAGAGGGGCAAGGACTGGCAAATTCTGAGCCAGGCTAGAAAGCCAGGAAGCACGAGGACGCTGTCAACCTGGAGCATGGATTTTGTCTCACTTCCAAGGCATCATGCCCTCCTGCCTATGGGGCCATCCTTCAAATGACATGTGCTTTCAGCAAGACCTGACATTAATCTAAGTTTCCACAGACAGTTGTCCATGGAAACAAGTGAGAGGCTGCTTCGGTATCAGGAGCTGAGCTAAATGGTCAGGAATAGCTTCTTTTCAAGTCCTAAATTTTAGAGCAAAAGGCAGAGAACCCCTACGAGAATAGAAAATAGATACTGCTTTCTGGGAAAGTATCATATGATTACTTTAATTTTATTTATTTTTTTTTGCAGAACCAGGGATTGAACTCAGGCCGTTGCGCTCGCCAGAGAAGCACTTATTCCACTGAGCCATCTCCCCAGCCCTCATGGTTACTTTTAAATGTGCAGAGGGCTTTCGTTCTTAGAATGTGCATAAATACATCTAGCAGATAAGCCATGCCATGGCTAAAACAACAGGAAACATCCATAATACTTACATACTGTCCTCCTGAGTTTATGAGAAGCTCAGGCTCTCATGCATAAACTGCAAGTAACTGAAAAGACTAGGTTCTTGGATGAACGCAGAGGCATCTTACTAAAGGAAGATAAAGCCTTCTTCCCAAAGAAAAATGTTTATGACTGAAGCAAATCAAAAGGGCCACGAGTCCTGACTCAGGGCCAGAGACTTACTAAAATGTCACCCTCACAGCTCTGCCCCTACCACCAGGGATGAGAGAGTGAAGACGAGGAGGAGAAACCACTGGGGAAAAAGTGAAAAAGGAAAACTCCACTGAAAAGCAAACAGGGAATTAAAGAACTCTACGGCAATGTTCAGATCTCTGGCTCCTGGCAGCTGTGGCCCAGGAGCCAGCATGAAGGCAATGTGGCACTTACTGACGCAAGCCATCAGGTCGTGGAAGATGTCCTTGGGGAACAGGGGGTGTTCCAGGCCACGGAAGTAAAGCTTCAGGACGCCTGCTATGGAATCCATGTCATGGTCATTCTGGTCCCCAGCCAGGGGGTCTTCTCCTGGGGATAAGCGATGCCCCCCAAAAGGAAAGAAAGTAAGTGGGCAGAAACACTTAGGACAAAGCAGGAGGGGTGGGGAGGAGTGACCTAGTCATGTCCTCCACCAGCTAGCTCATCATCTCTCTGCTAGCACAGGCGCCACAACTGGGACAGACCAGGGAATAGATAAAGCCATCCTCTTAGGCTATGGATGTTCCCTGGAGTTTGGGGCACAGCAATTGCCTTTCTCACAAAAATCTTGAAAGTAGGCTGGACCCAAGTCCCTCGAGAAGGAAAACGAGGCCAAGAAGGCCAGTTCCTCTCACTGGTTCTCACTCCTCTTGGCCCCCAGCAAAGGACACCTACTTACAGGAGCTCCCTATGGAAAATTTCATATCAGATGTAATTAGATTTAATGACAGGACCAACCTCAAATTGAAACTATATATATCCATTACAGTGACGGAAATTGCCAAAGCTTGCCCATTACCTTAATAGCCCACAAGATAATAAATGGGCTACAACGAGCAGGCACATTAGCCTTGATATTAACTGCCACCAAGGGTTCTGGATGAAGCCATAAACCGCCTGGATATCATAGTTAACTTCTCAGGTTTTGGCAGATCACCCGCAGGAGAGGCAGGAAGGGCTGGGCTGAGAAGGAAGGCAGCGGGACATGCCCAGCCTCTCCCCACACATGGAACGGGTTGCGTGTGTGGGAGCAGGTATCCGGCTGAAGGAGGAAGCAGGCTCCTTTCAGGGAGAAGAGTGGAGCTGGTACTGCAGGAGGCAGGCAGACATCTGGTCTTATCTCTGCGGCTGTTCCCTCACCTCTCTCAAAGGCATTTTTGATGTCATTCACTTCAACCTGGGATCCAGACACCCGGAAAATTCCTTCATGCTGTAGTCCTGGAACCACACACAGGGAAGAGTTCACAGAGAAGAAAAAGCAAGCTCACGACCACAGTACAGGCTCAGCTGAATGCCTGTCGCCCCTAGCAGCAGATCCTGAAGTAGGCAATCTCTCTCCCCCTGCCCCCAGGCCAATGTACAGAGGTGACAGGAAACTCAGTGGGTAGATTTTTTTTTTCTTTTTTTTTAAATTTTATTTATTTATTTATTTGTGTGTGTGTTCAGCTCAGCCCACCAGGGGGTGGGGCTGGCTGGCATGTGGTGCTGGGGGATCGAACCGCGGTCCCTGTGCTTTGTTAAGCTTGTTCTAAGTAGGTGCTTTAGACCACTGAGCCATCTCACCAGCCCCTAGATTTTTTTTTTAATGGTTCAAAGAATATATTATCTGCTATAACGTAAATTTTCATTTCAATTTTTTATGCTAATTTTATTGAGAAGGAAGCAATGAGACAGTTTTAAAACAGGTTAGTAGGACAGTTACAATAATTAATACTCTGCATATTGTTGTCTTTGAGGTAGTTATTCACAGTACAAGATGGGAAGATTACGAAGCATCACCTAAAGAAAGAACCAAATCAGAGACGTAATGAAGGACATCCACAGCCAGCTCTTCTCTTGACTCTGAGGGAGACTGCGGCAGGTGCCTTCCTGCCTGTGCCTAACTCACGTGACTTGCACAGCGAGACTTGCTGGAGCTTTCTTATTATTCAGAATAGCAGCTGGGTTGTAGCAGTTGAGACATTAAGTACCACTGGAGGCGTTTCCTAAGGTTTGAGGTGATGAGCACCTTTGTTGATTTAACAGTGTTCTACTACTTAGGGGGCAGTGCTTTCAGCAGTGATGAAAAAGAAGACAAATATATAAAGGGCCAGGGGCTGGAGAGATGGCTCAGTGGTCTAAAGCACCTACTTAGAACAAGCTTAGCAAAGCACAGGGACCGCAGTTCAATCCCCCAGCACCACATGCCAGCCAGCCGCGCCCCCTGGTGGGCTGAGCTGGCCACACACACACACACACACACACACACACACACACTAAATAAATGTAAAAAATAAATAAAAATAAGGGTCAGTCACAGATGGCACTGTCAGCTACTGTCCTAACCTTTGGTCCCTCCCCACTGCTTTAAAGACAAACATGCACAAATGTTACACTACAATTATGTGTACACAAAACTTTGTCTTGGCTAGTGAGATGGCTCGGTGGTCTAAAGCACCTACTTGGAACAGGCTTAGCAAAGCGCGGGGACCACGGTTCGAACCCCCAGCACCACATGCCAGCCGGCCCCGCCCCCTGGTGGGCTGAGCTGGCCACACACACACACACACACACACACACACAAATTAAAAATTAAAAAAAAAAAAAGTCAAAACTTTGTCTTAAGTTTTGTTAGAGTAGAAATAATTATTAATAAGAATAGTGTAGGGCCTGGGAGATAGCTCAGTGGTCTAAGCACCTGCCTGCCAAGTGCAAGGACCCTGGTTCGATCCCCGGTACTGCATGCTGTGCTGGCCCCTCACCGAGCTGGCCACCAAGACCAGGCGTGGTAGCACCTGTAATCTCAGTGCTGGGAGGCTGAGATAGGAGGATCACTACAAGTCTGAGCTGCACAGCAAGACCCTGTACGAAATAAATAAATAAATGAATGAATGAACAACTAAAAAGTTTTTTAAAAATAGTGCACAGTAGTAGTGACTATACAGTAATGACTGTTGTTATCAAAGGCTCTCACATAAAGAAAGCACCTAATCCTTACAGCAAGTGATAACCTGACTGCAGGGTCAGAGCTAGCAGTAACCCAGACTTCTTGCCAAGAGACTGGTCAGTGATGTGCAGCCTTTGGTTACACAAGTACTAAGAGTCTGGGTAAGGACTCACACCCAGACTTTGTGGCTCCAACCACATGTTCCTCCGAGACCAGACCTGTGGAGCTATTGGTGTGCATGTAGGGAGGGTGAGGATCACTCAGCCAGTCTGAACTTGGGACATGCAACTCTCTCTCTCTCTCTCTCTCTCTCTCTCTCTCTCTCTCTCTCACACACACACACACACACACACACACACACACACCCCTCACTGGCAAACCCAGGGAGAAATCCAGGAAGCGTGCCTTCAGTGCCGTGCCCGGGGCTTGGGCTGGGCTAGCATTGCTAAGTGCAGCAGGGCTGTCCAGCCTTTCTCAGTTTCTCAGGAGCTCTGACATTTTGTCTAAAACTGTGATGGTACAGTCCTTCCAGAACTTTGACAAGTCAGGAAGGAATAATACCACCTATTTCAGGCTTAACCTCTCAGTGAGGGGGCAGCTGGGTTCTGTGAACTAGACTTTTGGAAGGAGTATCATATAAAACAGGACTGAAATTGTCCACTTTGACTGAAATTGCATTAAAAAGTAAGTAGAGGGAATGTGATTACCTTTTCAGTGGCAAGCCTTAAGCTGTCTGCTCCTTTTTTTTTTTTTTTTTTTGGTGGAACTGGGAATTGAACTCAGGCCCCTGCACTTGCCAGGCAAGTGCTTACTCCACTGAGCCATCTCCCCAGCCCCTGTCTGCTCCTCTCAAGGGAACCTCCTGAACATTCCTCACAGAATAGCAGGCAACAGCAAAATCCATTAGTACCAATGCAGGTGTACTAGGGTACTTATCCGCCAGGATACTAGAGCTGAAGAATGTTGTTTAAACAGAAGGTGAAGAGCAAGTGCCCTCACAAAAACAGGCCTAGGCCCCAGACTTGTCAGAAACACAGTGCAAGGACGGGTCATCAAAGGACAGGCCAGTGGTGTGTGAAGCACGGTACCATGACCTGACAGAGGGCCAGCGTGGTACCTCTGGACAGGGAAGACCACCAGGAGCTGAAGCATTGGCCTATGGACCCAGGACAAGAAGAAACGAGACACGCATCTGGTGGAACTCAGGTGTCAGGCCTGAACACTGAGCTCTCTTTTGGTCTGGTTTCTGGTCTCCCTGCAGTACCAAAGCACCAGTTGGAGTTCTTGCTCAACACTCAGGATCTTTTGAGCAGCTAATGGGATGATGCTGAGAGCAGAAACAATGCTTTCCAGAAAGGAAAGGGGAAAACCAAGGAACTTGTTTATAATTCAGGTAAATCCGTGCATAAACAAAATGGCACATCCATGATCTTGTTTACTTGTTCTTTGTACACACTTAACAGAAAAGTGTGAAAGCCACCAGACATGGGTAAGTCATTTGGGAGTGGCACAAAAACCTTCCATTTAGATCAGGTGTAGCTCTTTTTAATAGTTGCTCTCCGAGATAATTCTAACACAACAACACCTTGTGTTCCTTCCCTCATGACAGTGGTGGGTTTTTCCTACATCGTGGTTTCATTTTACTAGTTCCCGACATTCCTTTTCCTTGAAATTTTCCTGGATTACCCTGTCCCACCATTTACAGAAGAGCCTCAGTTTTCCCCAGCTAACAGGGACTATAATATTTAACACCTAGGGGATATGAAAATAGTAAAAACATTCTCAGCATTTGGTGGGTCACAGTTTGTTTTAAGACTGGCAAAAGTTATATGATCCCTATTAACTTTTATTAGTATTTAATAGGGATCATATTAAATATATACTGAACTATCTCCTAGGCCCTTAATGTAGTTCTAAAAGTCCTATTACACCAACAGGCATATTCAGAGAAATGACAATCCTCTTCTTTTTCCCATTGTCCCATTATTTCCATCTCCTTGTGGCATGTTTCTTTTTTTTTTTTAATTTAAAAAAAAAATTTTTTTTAACATTTATTTATTGTGTGTGTGTGTGTGTGTGTGGCCAGCTCAGCCCACCAGGGGGCGCGGCTGGCTGGCATGTGGTGCTGGGGGATCGAACCGTGGTCCCTGTGCTTTGTCAAGCTTGTTTCAAGTAGGTGCTTTAGACCACTGAGCCATCTCTCCAGCCCCTTTTATTTATTTATTTATTTATTTATTTTATTTTTTTTTTTTGGCATGTTTCTTGTAATGGCCAATAAAATACTAGTTTCTGTCTGCTCCTCACATTTTATTTTTTCACTTAACAATATACCCTAGGAATCTTTCCATATCAGTTCATAGAGCACTTCCTTGTGTTTTTGCAGTTGTATAGTACTCCATTGTATGGGCATACCACAGTTTTTACAACCACTATTCTTCACAGGGGCATTTAGTTTGTTCCAATATTTTGCAATTATGAACAATGCTGCAGCAAATAATCTTGTGCACATACATAGATTTTTGGAGGCGTGTCTTCATGGTAAACTCCTAGAAGGGCTGCTGAATTAGAACATAAGTATATGTGTGGTTTTGTTAGATATTACCAAATTCCCTTCCAAAAGGGTTCTAGTCTGCATTCCCATCACCAATACATCAGGAGAACAGGTGTTTCCCCAGAGCCTCACCACAGAACTGGACTGAATTTTCATCTCCTTGTACAACACGCCTGTGCAGGAGCAGAATGGTATGTATAAGCCAAACTCTACGGAACCACTACTTCTCAGCTACCACCACAGCGAGCACTCTAGGCCAGGCCACTACCATGTTTCACCTGCAGCAGTTAGTTACTACTCCTGTAGTAACTTCCTGTTTCTATCTTATGGTCTTATCTCCCTAAAGCAGCTGTGCTTTAAAAAGTTCCCCTGTTCAAAAGTCTCCATGGCTTCCTATCTTATCCAGAATAAAATTTAAATGGCAAAGGCCAAGAGATTGGGTCTGTGCTTCATCTCCTGTCTCTCTCCTCTTCACTCTCTTGGCCCCTTCCATGGTGGCCTCCTTGCACTCATGAGGTATTCCTTGCATTCACTTGCCAGCAATCTCTGCACTTTAGCCAGCAATCTCTGCACTTTATGTTCCCCCCATTCCCTAGGTATCCACAAGGCCCACAGCCTCACCACTCTGCTCAAATGTTACCTTCCGAGGAGAGGTCTTCCCCCTGAACCTATCTAGAACAGTAACCACTCCCCATTTTCCATCTCCTCATCTTGCTTTGCTTCACGAAACAACACTCAAACTATTGCATGTGCATTTATTTATTGGCCAATCGACTGTCTGTCCTTCCACAAAGTGTAAGGTTTAGGAGAACAGACATTTTTTATTGGTATACAGTAAGAAGTCAGCATGTATTTTTGTTGAATAAATGCATGAATGGACAAAATGCATGGATGGATGAATGAATGGGAGTTCAGATCTTCCAGTGTTCTTTAGGCACAAATAACTCTTCCTTTCCTGAACTTACTTCAGACTTATCTCTGCCAACTACTTGATCATTAATCATTACTATCTTGTGAAATTTCTTACTCTGCTATTCTGAATTACCATCACTTATCTCTTTATTTAACTTCTGTTCTTTTTCTTTAACTTATCACTTATTTTCTCCCAAATAAATGTATTATAAAACCACTTAAAGACAAGAACAGTGTATTACTCTTGTTTTCATTTTTCTACTTGGAAATGCATGGTGCTTAACATTGATTGGGGGCTTGATAAATATTTGTTGATTGTTCCATAGTGATGTATAATGCTCTTACTTCAAGTAAACAGAGATAACATTAAAAATTACAGCTTGGGCTTGGAATGTAAGCCAGTGACTTCCTAGCATGCATGAGGCCACCCTGGGTTCAATCCCCAGCGACAGGGAAAAAAATATAGCTGAGGGAGGATGGGCTAAGTTGTAATGCTAAAATAATTGCAGTTCTAAAAATGAACCCACACAATGTCCCAGTCTACGCAGAAAGGAAGGTGAGGCAAGGGAGGGAGAAAGGCTGCATTACTTTACATTGATCCTTAGCCAAAGGTCATTTTGTATCAAGAAATAATTTCTGAAGCCCAATTGCTAGACATCTTAATGATGCTACTTCAGGTATCTGCCCTGTTACTCTTTCCTTTGGGAAAATCAATTCTCTGCACCCCTGAGATCTGCCAGAGTAAGCCAGCAGCTGGCAAGGAGTGAATCTGTAAGACCGATTTTTGTCCACACAGAGGGTTAGTGTGGTCTCTGTAAGGCTGAGAAGCCAGTCCTCGCAGACTCGCAAGTGTTTGGGGCAACTTCAGGACCAAATACTAACTGAGTGCTTGGAGATACTATACTCAGAACAAACCAGAACAAAACCTGACTATTTTTAGGACTCAGTACACCATTACACATGGAGCTATTTTCATACCAACGTGGTCTAGAAAGCCAGTAGGATAGCAGTCAGGCTATGCCCTGGGATGTACTGAACATGCAAAGGCAGTGTGTACCGACGAAAGTGCTGCCACAGCACACCACAGCTCCTACCCAGCAGCTGAACTGACACACACTCAAAGCTAGAAAAGAGCACATGGGTGGGGGCTATTATGCCATTCTGGGTTAAAGCTCATAATACCTCTTGGTGTCTGGGTGTGGCCATTCTGATGTAGCAAACATTATATGAACAAGTAAGATTTTATTCCTTTTCTAAGAACGTCAGGATGGGAAGGTAATCCCCATTCTTACTCTACAAAGAATTCCTGGAAGTTCTGCCCAATCTTTGCACAAATATGGACAAGACTGGAACCCTGCTTACCATGTCTGCTGATAAACCGGATGCAGCTTTCCACCACCAGAGGAATTGCTTGGCTGGAGTCCTGAAAAGCCAGAGAAACATGACATCAGAACTTCCAAACAGGGATAGCCAGGGGCAGAGAAAATGGGTCATGTTATGTGGAATTTGTCTTAGTGGACTGGTAGTTGGTACAATGAGAGGAGCTAATCTTTCTTCCAAGCTGCAGGGTCCAAAATCACTTGGTATGCCACACAGATGCTGTTAGGTTGTGCATGTCCCAAGTGAAGCAGATCACTTTCTATCCTGAACCAATTCCTCAATTCAGCCATCCAATCAATCCAAAGATCCTGTTGGGTTTGCCTCCTTAGTATCTCAAATCCATTAATTTCTCCATCCCTACTGCCATAAGCGACTCAGTGAGCCATTATTTCAGTTCCCACACTTCCTCGCCTCCCACCCTCTGGTCTGCATGTCTCTTCCCTAACAGAGCAGCTGAGTTATCTCTATGTAACTTTATTTTTTATTTTACTTATTGGACACAGGGTCTCATTATGTAGCTCAGATTCATAGGATGCTCCTGTCTCAGCCTCCCCTGTGCTGGAATTACAGAAGTACACCACCATACCCAGTTTTGTGGCCTGCATGGCATGTGGTACCAGGGATCGAACTCTGGTCCTTGTGCTTGCCATGTAGGTGCTTAGACCACCAAGCTATCTCTCCAGGGCTATGTAACTCTTTCTGGGACTACTCTGCTCTTCGTAGAAACTTGCTCAGCTGAGACCATGGCTTTACTTCTTTCATCTCATCTTCCTCTCATCCCTACCAGAGCCACACTGGTCACGTTTCTGATGCTCAGATAAGTCTTCCTTGCCTTGTGGCATTGCACAAGCTGGTCCTGCTGTGACACTCTCCTCAACTTATTGTGTAGGACTCAATACCCAGTTGTATTTCTCAGCAGAGCTCTAGCTTCACAAGGCAGATCCAGTGTCTGTGCCTGGGTATCCAGTACTGGCCACAGCACTTACATAGTAGTGCTGAATTAATATCAGTTTAAGGCCACAGAGTGAGTCAGTGAGAGCCTCAGAAAAAGGGTTGTTTGGCATAAAAGGTAAAAAAGAAAAACCAAGTCTTAGAAATGGTTGAGATTACTTGATACAAAGCAAAACAGGCTTCCAAGAAGTCAGCCTTTGGTCTTCCCCTTTCTTATACAATCCTATTTATTCATATCAGTTAACTTCTATCAGCTTCAACTTGTTACCTGCTAACTAGGAAGGTGATTGGCAGTGACTGTGGTAAGTCCTACCACCATGTGAACATCAGCGCCTACCATTTACCAAGGAATTGACAGAGGTTTTGGGCCATGTGCAAAGTCCTTTGATAGATTGGTCGTGTAAGAATGCTATAGGATATGTATTATTATTATTCTCACTTGACAAATGAAACAAAGGCTTTTTACCTCATCTCTTATATTCACATGGCTAAGTTAGAAAGCCAAACTCAAGCCTTGGAGTCTCACGAAGAGTGAGCATTTCCTTCGTTACCACCCATACTGTATTCTAAGAGTTTAGCAAACACTACATTAACCATGACTAAAAAGCCAGGAAGGTTTCATAATGCAGCTATATGCCTAATTCAGCTGTATGGAAGAAACAACAAGCATAGAGGACACTAAATCCAGCTAGAAAGAGCTTTAGATGTTCAGAATGGAGACTGGACTCTCATTGTGCCTTCTGCTCGCTGCACAGGTTTGCCTGCACCCCTTTTCTGGCCCTGAATTCTCAACTGCAGCCATGGGGTTTGGCTACTATTAGGGAAGCAGCTGGTTCTCATGAACAAGTCAGGCCAAGAGAAGAGCAGCTTTGGCCTCTATCTCTGAAGCTTGCCAGGAGCCAGGATGCTGCCAAAGGAAGTACTGTATATTCCAAGGTGGAGCTGAAATAAGGAAGGTCTTAGTGACCCAAATGCTCATCTTTGTGACTCCAAACCCGTCCGTTTCCTCTAGCTTCTTCGCCAGTGTCTGCTGTCTGGTTCCAATCCCCCCCCCCCCCCCCGGAACCGGGCTTGAACTCAGGCCCTTGTGCTTGCCAAGGAAGCACTTATTCTACTGAGCCATCTCCCTGGCCCCTCTTGTTCCAATATTAAAAAGAAAAAAAAGCTACATTTCAGAGAAATCTTTCTATGTTTACAGACTTCTGTTATTGTATTTTTTCATAAACAGCAGCAGCAAACATGATGAAGACATCACTAAGAGGGTTCTCAAAATTTTTCTTGTCCCAGGATCATATATAAAGAGCTGGAGGGAGGGAAGTAGGGAGGCTCATAGATTGCTGCCTTCCACAAGTGAAACTCTGCCCAGATGCACAGGAAATAGAATATCAGTGTGGAATGACCTGCGTAGGGTTGGCAGGGAGTGGGGCACCAAAGATATTAACCTGCCTATCCACGGTTACCAAGAGCACGTGGGAAGCAGCCCAGAGGGATAATCTGTGGCATACGAAGGTCGGCCAGAGATGACTGTCTTCCTGCAAGGCAGCATTTCCCTTTCCCCACAGTTCCGATAGGCCCTAAGATAGAGTCTGGAAGGAATAAGCAAGGCACTGAGGTGCAAAGGCTTTGCAGGCCCCTGCCATCCCCTGCCTCATGTAGTTTCCAAGCCACCAGTGAATTTATCACTCCAGATGTGCTATGTGCTCCAGTAGCACCCCACAGACCCACACTGCCCCACAGACCATCCTGTCTGTGCATTTTCGCTTACTGCATGCTTCTCTCTGCCACTCTCCCCCTACGGTGGAATTGATGCCAACGTAATGCTTTGCTTCACAATAATTTTAGTCAGATAATCTCAGGGCCAGAGGACCCTTTAAGGACAATCAGGCTAAATTCCCACCCAATCAGATTGAGAGAACTGGAGGGAAAAGGACAGTAGGTATAACTTGGAAATGACAATCAAGTGGTCCTGTAATGTGCAGGAGAAAATAATCAGGAGGATGGCCAGATAATGTTCAAATACACACTGCTTAGCATATGTTCCTTTGTTTTGATATTAATTGGGTATTTTCAGATTTTACTCAATTTTAATAGTAAGTAAGTTAAATACATTTTTAATCTGTTGTGTTCTATCATGTGACACAGAGATTGTACCTGATATGGGATACCACGTGTTGTCATACATGTGCATGTGTAATGTGTAAGTTAGGTCTTGCCAGACATCCATCACTTCTTTATAGTCAAAACACTCAATATCATTTCTTCCAGTGTCTGAAATGTACATTATAGGTGCCACCTAGAGTCACCCTACTGTGCAACAGTAGCACGTCAAACTTCTTACTTCAGCTCACTCTAACACAGTACTGGCTCATCAGCCTTTCCTCACTGGCATAAATTCGTATGAGGAAGAGGGTTAAAGTGCTGGTCGGGTCCTGGCCTCCACGTACATTTGTTAGACTTCTGCTTTAAAAGAGAAAATGTAAGCCTTGACAGCAGATCAGATATGGAAAATAAGGGGAAAAGGCCATTAAAGATCAAATTGGGGGCCATGGGGACTCTACAGAACAGACAGCAACAGAGAAGTTGGGGGAGGAGCCCAGGGAATCGGAGTGGAGCGAGGTGTGGGAAGGTTAAGGCTTACACAGCGAGCAGAGGCGAGAGCTCAGTTTTCAAGCACAAACATCTCTGTATCCCTCAAGGAGTCAGCTCCAAAGGCTTCGACTGGCAGCGTGTAAAACACAAGTAAGCATGTAGAAGGACATAAGCTCATCAGGGGAAAGAGCCTGGAGAGATGTCTAGAGAGGGCCAGGTCTTGAAGAAATGCCTGTGTCAGGGGAATGGAGATGGGCCAGTGAAGAAGACGTGGGGGTAACAGCCAGCAGAAAAAACACCCAGGCCTGACAAGAGCAGAGAAGGTCTTGGAAGCAGCAGCTGAGGTACCTCCCCTTCAAGAAAGGTCTGGTATATTTGGAAACTAGTCTTTACTAGGGTCAAAAACGACTGGGAACTGGTTGCACTGACATGCACTTTTAATTCCAGCGATTTGGGAGTTGGAAGCAAAAGGACTCTGTCCCAAAAGCAAAACAAACAAACAAACACCCCAAGGGCTGGGATGTTGCTCAGTGGTACATAGCTTGCCTAGCACAAGTGAGGTCCTAGGTTCAATTCCCCAGTGCCACACACACACACACACACACACACACACACACACACACACTCACACAAACTCCATTAGGCACCCTTAAGAACAAAAGCTATCATTCTTCCTCTTTTTTGGCCAACTTGCCACAAACAAACCAACACTGACTTCCAGGTTACCTACACAAGATCATTTAACGTGGAAACCACCTGCTGTTTTACCCTCCTGTCCATCTTAGAAAACCCTTTTCATCAACAGGTCTGAAGTGCTAGAGAGAGATGGGGGCACTTCAACAAGATAAAAGCAAGGTCTTCACTGGACTGGGTTTACAGTGCAGCCTGGAGCTCTCCAGCAAGTCTGGCCCCAGGCAAATACACATGCCTGCAAATGCTTTGGCGCAGCAAGATGCAAATCATACAGCAGACAGGTGTCATTCTCTTCCGATCCACACTGACGCCTGCTGCACTATGGGCTTCTGAGGCCAGAGAAGGAGCTTTGGAGCCTTCAAAAGAGTGCTTGGATCTATCTCTATGCAGGGAGTTCCATGTTAGATCAGGAACGCGAAACAAACTTTAAGCTCAACCCTATTGTTTACCAGTACTAAAGGTGAAATGGTTTGTTCACTCTAAGATCCATCTATTAATTTTAAATGCCATACATGATTCTAGGAAATTGTTCCGTTTCTCTTCAGTTTTAAATGAAATTATGAAAGGAGAAGAAAAAAAAAATCGAGAAATAAGAGGGAGGAGAACTGAAATGAAACAATGAAATTTTTATAATTTAAAAATGTATAGTCAGGCATAACCCCAGTACTTGGAAGGCTGAGGCAGAAGGATTGCCACAAGTTTGAGGCCAGCCTGAGTTACATACAAGTTCAAGGCTAGTATGAACCATGCAGTGTGACTGTGTGTGCACATGTGTGTAACAGAGAGAGAGAGAGAGAGAGAGAGAGAGA